AGAAGGTTGCATACAGGTCAGTGGGGTGAGATTCTCATTAGCTTTGTATTTTGTTTGCCTTGGGAAGGGAGCATGGTCTAGTGGGAAGAGCAGTGGGGACTTCTGGGTTCTGTTCCCAGCTCTGGGAGGTGAGTAGGGCCAGCAGGTTAGAGTAGGAGAGCTGGGAGCCAGAACTCCTGGATTCTATCCCCAGCTCTGCCATTGATGTGTTGTGTGATCCTAGGCAGATCTCTTCGATTCTTGGTTTCTCATTTTCCCCCTCTGTCAAATGGGGGCTAACAGTGCTCCCCCAACACCACCACCCCCCCTCCCCGCTGGGGGTCCTGGAAGGGCCCTGAGAGCAGAGTAACGGTGTCATCCCCCACCCGGCAGGAGCAGACCACCTTCATCTGCGTCTGCATTGCTGAGTTCCTGTCGCTCTACGAGACCGAGCGCCTCATCCAGGAGCTGGCCAAGTGCAAGATCGACACCCACAACATCATCGTCAACCAGCTGGTATTCCCGGACCCAGAGAAGCCCTGCAAGATGTGCGAGGCCCGGCACAAGATCCAGTCCAAATATCTCGACCAGGTAGGGAGGGGGCTGGGCAGCTTCCCCCTGGACCCATACCTCTGGGTTCCCTCTAGCAGACTCCCTGCCCCTGGACTGGGCTCCTCGTGGCCTTCTCTACCTTCCCTTCCCGCCTTCCCCACTGGGCAGCTTCCAGCCTTCTCAAACTCCACCCCCCCAGGGGCTGGAGTAGGCTCCTCTGGCACGGGAGGCTGAGATCAGTGGGTACAGAGGTGTCCCAGCAGCCAGAACCCCTTTGTTATGGATTCCAGTGGCTCCAGGCATCTGCCAGCCCAGCCCTGGGGGCCTTAACCCTCCCTGCTGCTACATGAGACCCAGCACTGGCGTAGCAGCTCGGTGCTGCCCCCCCCCCGCCCGATCCGGCCTCCAGCTCTGCTGCCCAGTGCCAGCGTGTGACACAGCTTGTCAGGCCTCAGCTCGTGGCGGGGCCACGGCTCCGTGCCACGGCACCAAGCAGCGAAGCCCCTTGAGCAGAGAGACCAACGGCCGAATGGGACCACAGAGCCTGTGCCCCCTCTGGGGTGGGGGTGGGGGGGAGGCTGGTTCTCTCTCACCTCTCCCCACCCCCTGCAGATGGAAGACCTGTACGAAGACTTCCACATCGTCAAGCTGCCGCTGCTGCCCCACGAGGTGCGAGGAGCCGACAAAGTCAACACCTTCTCCAGCCTCCTCCTGGAGCCCTACAAGCCGCCCAGCGCCAACTAGGGACATGCGGTCACTGCTCCGGTCTGGATCATTCCACTTTGTCAGTTACACACCAGGACCCCGCCCCCCCCCCCCCCCCAGAGCACAATCCTTCCTGCCCTGTCTGTCACATGATAGGGAGGCTTGCAGTCAGCAGGGGTGGGGGGGGGGCGTATTTATTTCCCCTTCCAAGGAGGGGCAGGATCTCTCTGCCACAGGGAGAATACTGGATTCCCTCCCTCCCCTTAACACAAGCCCCCCCCCCCCCCCGTAGTCTCAAGGCTGCATTAAAAACCAGCAATCCACGTCCTTCTCCCCCTTCCCTTCCGTAGGGGGCTACACCACTACAGGTCACTAGATGGGTCCCTTGTCTTTCCCCTCCCCTCTTTCTCCCAGCATGCTCTGCTGCTCCCCCCCTCGGTGGAGGGGGTTCTCCGGGCGCTGGGAGTCAGAGGGGGCTCTGCCAGGTGTTGTACAAAGCCGAGGCCCCGAAGCTTAAGGAAAAACATGTAAATAATAATAATAATAAAAAAATCTGAGGAAAGTATAGCTGTGGGGTGTTCTTGCGGGGAGGGGCTGGGACTTTCTTTGCGTGGGGGAGGGGCTGCACATGGGAGTGGGGTGCCCCTTGGCCCAGCAGAGGTGGGTGTCAGCAGGGAGCCTCTACATGGCACAGCCTACATGGCTTCCTGCAGGGTGGTCACTGTCCTGTGTGGGGACTCAAGCCTTGATTTGGAGGCAGTACCGTGGGGGGGGGTGGCGAGGGCTCCCTGGTTCTGGTTCCCAGCTTGGAAAGGCGTGGGGTCTAGCGAGTGGTTAGAGCAGGGACACGGGGCGTCAGGACGCCTGGGTTCTGTCGCCCCCCTCTCTGCACCAGCCGACGCAGTGCAGAGGGGCTGGGGAAGGACAGTCATCCCTCTGTGGGTGCGATTGATCTATTGACAAGGGGGCTGGTGGGGATGGAGCCTAGTGACTGTTCTCCCACAGAAGGGAGAAAAGCAACTCCTGACACTGGTGGGGGAGAACTTCTCAGTCACTCCATCCTTGCATGTGGGCTGAGGGGGTGGGGCTTCAAGTCCCCTTGGTGTTCCCTGTATTCTGGGCCCCAGCATCAGTTAGAGCAGCCTCAGGCTGCTCTATCTCTCGCTCGGCTCCCCTTGCCTCCTGTGGGCAGCTTCCTCCAGCGTGGAGGGGGATGCAGCTTCCTGTTCAAGTCCGCATCTCCTGGCAAGGCAGGTTGGCGGCTGAGGCCCTCAAACTCGTGACCCCCAAGCTCTCTGTATGATGAGAGCCCCAGTCCTCCGTGGGGGAACCTCTCGACCCCCTAGAGAGCTGTAAGGTTGCTCATCCAGGGAGGGCACCCGGTGGATAATGATTTCAAGTGCCAGCCAGGAGGCCAGGCCCTCCGACAGGATCCCCCTGCAATGGCTGGGAACCGGGAGCAAGCCAAGGTGCCATTGTTCCCTTCCCCCCCCCCTGGCACTGGAGACCCCAGATCTCAAGTGGGGGCTGCCCCCAGAAACCCCCCTTCCCCCCATGGGTTTGGTGACCTGGTTCCTTCCCTGACCGCAAATGGAGCAAACTGGGGTGACCCCGGTTTGAATCCAGCCCCCTGTCAATTGCCTCTGCTTGGTGGAATTGGGCCCGGAGGCTGTTATTAAATTGGGCTTGGCAGGGTGCTGGGGGCCTACCCCATGGCCCATCTCTGCTGCCCTGCTCTGCCTGGGCACTGGGGGAAGGGGACCAAGCGCCTGCCTTGTTTGTCTGGCTCCTTCCCAGCCGCTTGAGGCTCTGCCGGGAAGCTGGAGGGGGGATTGCACCAGCCTTATCTCAAGGGGCTTCAAATGATGGTCATGAACGAGGAGGGTGGGTCTTGTGCAGGGGTTCTCAAACTGGGGGTTGGGGTCATGAGCTTATGACATGGGGGAGTCACAAGCTGTTGATGTCCACTCCAAACCCTGCTTTGCCTCCAACATTTATAATGGTGTTAAATATGTAAAAACATGTTTTTAATTCATAATGAGGGGTTGACCCCCTTTCACATGGGAAGCCTCTGAGTGCACCAGGACAACAGATTGAGAACCCCTGGTCTTGTGGATCAAAGCCAACAGTAGGAGGCAGGACTCCAGGGTTTTCTCACTAGCTGAGGGGGGAGTGGTGTCTAGGGGTTAGAGCAGGGGGCTGGGAACCAGACCCAGGTTCTCTCACTCGCTGAGGGGGAGTGGTGTCTAGGGGTTAGAGAGGGGGCTGGGGCAGACTCTGGGTTTCTATAGTGAGGGGGAGGGGTCTAGGGGTTAGAGCAGGGGGGCTGGGAGCCAGGACTCCTGGGATCTAGCACTGGGGGGTGGGGGGGAGCAGGGCCTAGTAGTCAGAACAGCACAGTGGGAGCCAGGACTCCTCGGTTCCCTTCTTAGGTGGGGCCGTGACTGCGCCTCCCAGACTCTGGCTTTGCCTGGGCCGGAAGGGCAGGCTACAGCTTCTCCCGCTGCCGACTCTGCCCACGCTCGCCCGCAGCAGGGCTGTGAGGCGTCAGCGATGGGGTTGTGAAACACGTGGGGCCCCGTGTGCGTCCAGGAGGGGGTTATGTAAGTCTCTCCGCGTCCGTGTCTGGAACTTGTGTCTGCCCCAGCAAGGGGCTGGGGGGGCTCATTAGTGCCGACCTGCTCAGCCGTGTGTCTCCAAGCTGCCCAGCAAGGCGGTGGGCACCAGTGCTGATCTTAAAGGGCAAGTGCCCTGCTCATGGCTATTTCCTGTTAGTGCATGAGGGGGTGGGTTTCAGAGCTGGGGTGTTGACTCTGCCCAGTAGGGCCTGCTCTGGGAGGGGAGTGGGGTCGAGGGGTTAGGGCAGGGAGTCAGGACTCCTGGGTTCTACAGCCATCATTTGCAGGGGTGCCGGGCTGCCAGAACAGTATCAGCCCCACTCCCTTGTGCTGGGAGTGATGCCTCCCTTCCCCTCCACGCTACCCACCCCACTGCCTAACCCGGCACAAGCTGCCCCCTCCTCGCTTGCCAGCCCTGGCTTTGCAGACAAACAGGAAGGGGGGTGGGGGGGACTGCAGGTAGGTCCATGTGCCAGGGAGGAGCTGGGAGAGGAGATGATGGGGGAAGGGGGGGTTCAGGCCTGGTATTGAGGAGGGGCTTGCATCAACCTCTGGCTAGGTGCTGCCCCAGTGACCCCTGCCAGCCCATGTGTGGGGAGGGGTTGATGTGTGTTGCTCTGGGGCAGGGCTGAGCTCACCCTGCCCTAGGCCACCAGCAGGGAGCCCCCAGCCCGCATTGTTTCCAGAGGGCAGGGCAGGGCAGGGCAGGGCTGATGGGGGGGGGGGGGGGCAGCTGGGTGCTCAGCCAGATATGTGCTGGGTTTGCATCAGCCCCTGCCCACAGGCACAGCAGCTGCCTTGCTCATTATGGTCGGGATCATCACCCCACTTAGCAGTGCCCCAGGGCCCTGCTCGCTTGGGTCACACCTGGCCAGGGGCTGAGGGCAGGACCCAGCACCCCCCTCCCAGGAGTCCTGGCTACCAGTCCACCCTTGCTCCAGCCACTAGACTCCATTCCCGCCCCCTGGCCAGGGAGAGAACCCAGGAGTCCTGGCTCACAACCCCCCTGCTCCAACCACCAGACCCCACTCCCCTCCCAGAGCCAGGTATAGAACCCAGGAGTCCTGGCTCCCAGTTCCCCCCTTACTCCAACCACTAGACTCTCTTCCCTGCCCCCACCCCAGCCAGGTATACAACCCAGGAGCCCTGGCTCAAAACCCCCCCATTCTACCCACCAGACCCCACTCCTCCCCCTCCCCCCCAGAGCTGGGGAGAGAACCCAGGAGTCCTGGCTGCCCTGCATTTCTGGAAAGGGGGGTTGCAAAACTCTGGAGAATGTGCTGGGTGCTTTGGAGACTCCCGGCTGGAGAAAGTCCATTGTCTGGGCTGTTTGCCTACTGAGGAATCAAGCCTTGGAGGTGTTGACTTGTCAAACAGAGCTAGGGAAGAAGCCAATACAGGAGGGAGGGAGCCGGTTGCCTCGGGCCCCATGCGTAGGGGGGGCTCTGAGAGGACAAAGGTCAGAGGGGTGGGCACTGAGGTATTTAAACAGCAGCCCAGGGGAGTGGGGTCTCTTTAAGCAGCTGCAATAGCTCCTTGGTGTCCTGCTGCCAGCTCCTGGACGTCCCTGGGTGTCTTCACCTGCTTAGCAGCCAGCTCCTCCCCAGGCCCTGTCTCCTTTTGCCCCGCCCCAGGAGAAGAGTGGGGATAGATTTGCTGCCTTCAGTTTAATTTCTCTTCCACCAGCGTCTGATTGCAAAGAGACCCGGAAGATCCAGACAAGGTCAGTGCAAAGCTCCCCCAAATCCGAGGCCCCTGCCGTGGTGGGAATGGCGGGTGGGAGTGTGCGGTGTGGAGCAGACAGTGGGGACTTTGGGGTGGGGGGAGTGAGCCTGTATTGGGATCTCCACAGACACCCCCTCTTTCCCCAGGGGGAGCTCCGCAGACCTGGCCCTGGGCTGAGCTCCTTTCCAGACTGGAGCCTTGAGCCCTGCCTGTCAAGTCCCAATCCTGCAAAGGATTAGGTGTCATTATGGTAGCGCCCAGGATCAGAACCCCATTGTGCTGGGGGCTGAACAGTATTAGGTGTATTACGGTAGCACCTCAGAGCCCCAGTCATGCTGTACAAGCCCGGGGGTGTGTGTAACTGATGTCAGTAAGTGCCCCCCACCCCACGCCACCAGTCACAAAATCTCCAGACAGGCGCTGACAAACCTGGTCACCTGAGGGCTGTTTTTATTGGCCCTCTGCTGTCGCAGCTGCTGGAGCCGGACACTTTCAAGCCTTTTTCTGTAGCTAGCAAGGCGAGAAACTCCGGGGAGCGTCTGCTCATCACATGACTCCGGGAGCTGAAGCTTGAAGGACAAAAAGACCCGAGATCAGAAGAATTGTGGTTAAAACAAGGAGTCTCGGAGCAGTTGGGCTGGTTTGAAAGGGGCTGCAATAAAATCCCAATAACGAGTATGAAAATCATTTGGGGGCTCAGAGAGATGACAGGCCTGGCAAGACAGTGAGATCATGAATCTGACCCCTGTCACCCACAGATAGACCCCTGCTAGGTGTTAGAATACTTTGGGAATATTTTTCATAATTGCTCTTTAACTATTGAAATGTGCTCGTTTCTTGTGGTTATCAGACTGGCTGAGCTGGGAATATGATGATAACGGACGGGTTTAGTGGTGGCTGTTGGCGAGCTTGGGAATATGCTGTTAATAGTGACGATCGAATTATTCTTGGAAAGTTTAGTTAGTTGAAGCTTTAAAAATTTACCACTTTAAACTCCCTCCCCCACCTGGATACATTTTGTAATGTCCCTTTGTGGAAAATGGTTTAAACTGGGAGCCAGGACTCCTGGGTTCTATCCCAGCTCTGGGAGGGAATGGGGTCTAGTGGTTAGGGGCTGGGAGGAATGGGAGTCGGGATTCCTGGATTCTGTTCCCAGCTCTGGGAGGGTGAGTGGGGTCTAGTGGTTAGGGCTGGAGGGAATGGGAGTCGGGATTCCTAGATTCTGTTCCCAGCAATGGGAGGGTGAGTGGGGTCACCTGGTGGTTAGAGTAGGTGGCTGGGAGCTGTGAACAGAACCCAGGAGTGCTGGCTCCCAGCTGCCATGTGTCCCCCTCCTACTCTAAGGGCTAGACCTCCCTGCCCAGCTCTGGGAGTCTGATCTAGAGCTCAGAGCGGAGGGGGGGGGGGGGGCTGGAGGGTGGGTTCCCTGCTGTATGCAGACCCCGGGGTCGCTTAGCTCTGCTAGGAAAGAAGGAATGCTTTTACAAAAGGCCCCTTTCCCCTAAGGCAATAATTGTAGGTGCCTTTTAAGAGCCGGGCAGGTGCGGCTGTGACGACATGGGGGACAGAAGCACAGACTTGCTGCCTCACTTGTATTTTCCCCAGCCTCTTTTCATGCCACTTGCCGGCCACGTTTGCTCTCTGCCAGCTATTTCAGCCACTTCCTCGATTTCCATTGGGGTCCCGATCTTAGAGGTGGCTGGAGTCTCCCAGCCTAGGGAAATGACCCGCCCCGATGGGCTTACACCCCATTTTGACAGAGGGGTGTTAAGAAGGCAAAAGTTGCTGATCGCCCGTCAAATTCCCTTGGCTCGATCTTGCCTCTGTGTTTCCCTGCGTGTAACTCTCTGGCTCGGGAACACGCCGGCCGCCCTTGGCCCTGTCTTAACCCAAACCCTCCGATAACATTGGCCTTTTCATGGCCACCTGGGCTAAACATAGGGCCTGGCCTTAAAATCTCCATCCCCGGTGCAAAGGAAGGTTCTGGGCTCCTTGCGAAAGGCAAGACAAAGAGGAGGAGCGGGGTGGCGTCTTGTGAGTGGAATTTCTTTCTGCAAAGGGCTTTCAAACCTTGCTGGGGGGGGTGGGGGGGAAGCAAAGCAGGCTGGGGACATTAATAATGAATTAGCCGATTCCTGAGCAGTCCAGAAAGGGGGCTGGGTCTGAGATCCTGGTGGGAAGGGACAGACTTGCCATGGGCTGAGTTTCTTTTTTTTTCTTTTCTTTTCTCCCCAATTTCTGGCAAACATCTGGGGGTGAGGGGGAAATTTACAAGGTGGGAATAGTGACTCTGAGTTTACGGACCGGGGGGGTCTCTTTCGCTGAGGACTGGTTAACATACAGTGATTTACTAGTGGGTTACGTGAAGTCCCAGAGACTCCACATCCCCCCATCACCCTGCAAGCTGCCTGGGTAGCGCCCCTCCCATCCCCCTCTGTGTCAGGGACTCCCTGCCCCCCATGCCTGGTGCTCTGTGACCCTTCCCCCAGGCCAAGGGCTGTGTGCTCCTCCATTATCCACTTGCACCCTTACTAGGGTCCACATTCTGCCCCCCCCATGCCAGGGGTTCCCTGGGCTCCCCTGTTCCCTCCTTATTTGGATTACGGGAGCCCCAGTCCCGGCCCAGGACCGCACTGTGCCAGGCGCTGTACAGACCGTGCCAACAGACAGGGTGTGCGGGGGTGTGCGGGGGAGGTGACACAACCAAGGCTCTAGCGGGGCCACAGCTGGCGTGCAGGTGGGTGGCACCAGGCTTCCCCTCCCAAAGCGAGGACGAGGGTCGCCCCCAGTCCTGCCCCAGGGCACAGGGCGACCCACCTGCCCTCCTGAAGTCCCTTCCGCCCTTTCCCGTCTCTGATTTCTCTGGCCCCGTGGCCATCGCTGTCCATGTGTCTCTGCAGGGCCCGTGTCCCCCTCACCACCCCGCCATGACCGTCACCTACACGGCCCGCGTGGCCAACGCCCGTTTCGGGGGCTTCTACAAACTGCTCCTGCTCTGGCGCGGGAGCATTTACAAGCTGCTGTACAAGGAGTTCCTGGCCTTCTTCGCCACCTACCTGGGGCTCAGCCTGACCTACCGGTGAGGGGGGGCCCTTTGCACGCGCGCGTACCCCTGGGCCTGGGCACAACTGTGGTGGGCGTGCGACTTGCACCCACGCTTGTGGCTCTTTGCACACGTGGGTGGAGAGCAGGCCCCCGGCCCCTCGCACGTTTGTGTGCTTGCACTCTCATGGGGGGGGAGGGGCGGGCATCACTTTGCACGTCTGTGTGGGCGCCCCATCCCCGTGCGCGGTCTGTGTGGAAACCCCACGGGCGAGGGCACCGAGCTTCTTGCATTTCTCTCCCTCCCGCCGCAGCTTTGTCCTGGCCGAGGATCAGAAACGCTACTTTGAGAAACTGGTGATTTACTGCAACAACTACGCCAACCTAATCCCCGTCTCCTTCGTGCTGGGTACGAGCCGGGACCCCCCACATTCCCCGCCCAGCCCCCTGCGTGAGACAGGTGCCCTCCTCCCCCAGGCCCTTTGCCCTCTCCCAGGGCAGGCACTGTAGGGTATATGGGCCCTACTGGATCCCCCCTGTGAAAAAGTGCTGGGGGGGGCAGAATGCCCCTCTGGGCTGTTTGTAGCACCATGAGGGGGGATGGGGGGGCTTGGGCTGTGGGTGGGGGCTCAGCTCTCCCACCAGGGAGGGACCAGCCGTGGGTTCGAATCCCGCTAGGCCCCTCAAGCCAGGGCTGGGACCCTCCAGTCGAATGGGGATGAGAGTGAGCGACTCCTGCTGGCCAGCTGGGGAAGGGGCATTAACGGAGCCTCTCCCAGCCCCATTGGACCCCGCTGACCTGTCTGGGTTTGGGGCTTGTTTTCTGTCGTCCGTGTCCCCCCCGCAACCCCGGGCAGGGCTGGGGGCCAGGACGCCGGGGTTCTGTGGCCGGCTCGGCCCCTGACTCCAGCGTTTGTCCCTTTGCCTGCAGGCTTCTACGTCACGCTGGTGGTGAACCGGTGGTGGAGTCAGTACACCTGCATGCCCATGCCCGACCGCCTGATGTGCACCATCTCCGGCACCGTGCACGGCGGGGACGAGCGAGGCCGGCTTTACCGCCGCACCCTGATGCGCTACGGCAGCCTCTCGGCCGTGCTCCTTCTGCGCTCCATCAGCACCGCCGTCTTCAAGCGGTTCCCCACCATCGACCACGTGGTGGAGGCAGGTCGGTGCCGGGGGCGGGGGGGGAGCTGCAGGGAGCGGGGCGGGGGCTCAGCAGGGGGCGCTCTCCTGTCCCGATCAGCTGGGAGACAAAATCCAGGGCCCCTCGCGGCCAGTAAAACGCCACTTCGCATTTGAGCCGCGGGGGCGCGTTGAACCCCGGCGTCCTGGCCGGCGTCCAGCACCGGGAATTCCTTACCGCCTCCCGAACGCCCTCCCGCTGCTTCAGCCGTGCCCAGGTCTCACGTCGCGGCCTGATCAAAACCTTGGCGCGGCCGTGCAGCTGTGAAGCAGCCTCCGTGCCAAAAGCAGCTGCATCTCGGCGCCAGGCCAGGGGTCCCTGGATAAACAGCCCCTGCTCCACCCCAGAGGAGGCTGCATCTCAGGGCCGGGCCAGGGGTCCCTGGATAAACAGCCCCTGCTCCACCCCAGAGGAGGCTGCATCTCAGGGCCGGGCCAGGGGTCCCTGGATAAACAGCCCCTGCGCTCCACCCCAGAGGTGGCTGCATCTCAGGGCCGGGCCAGGGGTCCCTGGATAAACAGCCCCTGCTCCACCCCAGAGGAGGCTGCATCTCAGGGCCGGGCCAGGGGTCCCTGGATAAACAGCCCCTGCTCCACCCCAGAGGAGGCTGCATCTCAGGGCCGGGCCAGGGGTCCCTGGATAAACAGCCCCTGCTCCACCCCAGAGGAGGCTGCATCTCAGGGCCGGGCCAGGGGTCCCTGGATAAACAGCCCCTGCGCTCCACCCCAGAGGAGGCTGCATCTCAGGGCCGGGGCAGGGGTCCCTGGATAAACAGCCCCTGCTCCACCCCAGAGGAGGCTGCATCTCGGCGCCAGGCCAGGGGTCCCTGGATAAACAGCCCCTGCTCCACCCCAGAGGAGGCTGCATCTCAGGGCCGGGCCAGGGGTCCCTGGATAAACAGCCCCTGCTCCACCCCAGAGGAGGCTGCATCTCAGGGCCGGGCCAGGGGTCCCTGGATAAACAGCCCCTGCTCCACCCCAGAGGAGGCTGCATCTCAGGGCCGGGCCAGGGGTCCCTGGATAAACAGCCCCTGCGCTCCACCCCAGAGGAGGCTGCATCTCAGGGCCGGGCCAGGGGTCCCTGGATAAACAGCCCCTGCTCCACCCCAGAGGAGGCTGCATCTCAGGGCCGGGCCAGGGGTCCCTGGATAAACAGCCCCTGCTCCACCCCAGAGGAGGCTGCATCTCAGGGCCGGGCCAGGGGTCCCTGGATAAACAGCCCCTGCTCCACCCCAGAGGAGGCTGCATCTCAGGGCCGGGCCAGGGGTCCCTGGATAAACAGCCCCTGCTCCACCCCAGAGGAGGCTGCATCTCAGGGCCGGGCCAGGGGTCCCTGGATAAACAGCCCCTGCTCCACCCCAGAGGAGGCTGCATCTCAGGGCCGGGCCAGGGGTCCCTGGATAAACAGCCCCTGCGCTCCACCCCGGAGGTGGCTGCATCTCAGGGCCGGGCCAGGGGTCCCTGGATAAACAGCCCCTGCTCCACCCCCGGAGGTGGCTGCATCTCAGGGCCGGGCCAGGGGTCCCTGGATAAACAGCCCCTGCTCCACCCCAGAGGAGGCTGCATCTCAGGGCCGGGCCAGGGGTCCCTGGATAAACAGCCCTCCTGCGCCACCCCAGAAGCAGCTGCATCTCAGTGCCAGGTGAGGGGTCCCAGTGTAGCATCTGTTTAAAGGGTGGGGGGACTGTCCAGGGAGGCTGACGAAAGGGGCGTCTAACGGGGGGAGGGGCAGGTGGTAACAATCCTCCCCCGCCCCTGCGCATTGAGGTTGGGGCAGTTTGTGCCCCAGGGGTCCCGGGTGCTCATGCTGGAGGCGAACCCCATGTGCCTCTCCTGCTCCCCCTGGTGGCCAGACCTCGCAGAGACATGTGAGTCCCTGCAGCTGGGGCCGGAGGGGCTGCAGGGCGCAGAGGCCGCAGGTTTGGTCCCCGGCCTGGGTTGTGGGGACGGCTGGGTGACCCCTTCCTCTCGCCCGCAGGCTTCATGACCCGGGAGGAGCGCAAGAAATACGAGAACCTGAGCTCGTCCTACAACAAGTACTGGATCCCCTGTGTCTGGTTCACCAACCTGGCGGCCCAGGCTCGCAAGGAGGGGCGCGTCCGGGACAACTGCGCCCTCAAGATGCTGATGGAGGTGGGTGGAAACGGAGGTGGGGGACTGACTGGGGATGCCTGGGTTCTGTGCCCGGCTCGGGGTGTGGGAGCCCTGGATGCCTGGGTTCTGTGCCCGGCTTGGGGTGTGGGAGCCCCGGATGCCTGGGTTCTGTGCCCGGCTTGGGGTGTGGGAGCCCCGGATGCCTGGGTTCTGTGCCCGGCTCGGGGTGTGGGAGCCCCGGATGCCTGGGTTCTGTGCCTGGCTCTGGATGGGGTGGGAACCCTGGCACCAGGGGTTCTGTGCCCGGCTATGGGTGGGGAGGGGGGTGGGTCAGCCCTGGCCACCTGGGTTCTGGGTAGGGGCGTGGGAGGTCCGGATGCCTGGGTTCTACCACTTGTCCTACCTGGTTTGAATCCAGGCCCTGGTGGTGACTGGCAAATCCAGGGCCTCATCTGCCAGGTAATGAGTTTGCTGGGTCTCTGCTCAGCCCCCGGCTGGCTGTGTTCTGTCAGCACTAACTGGGGGCTGATGGGGGAGACTGAGCCCTCCCCAGCTCTAGAGGGGACCCCAGTGTGGGGAGACACCTTAGCAGTGGTGGGGGCTCTGCTGGGCAGGGGGCATTTCGTGGGAATGCCCCAAGTCTGTCCCTGGGGGGCTGTCGAGCTGCCCCCCCAGCAGAGATCTGCCCCCCTTTCCCTCCCACAGGAGCTGAATCACTTCCGTGCAAACTGCAGCATGTTATTCCACTACGACTGGATCAGCGTCCCTCTGGTCTACACACAGGTGAGCTCCGACCCCATGGAGTGGAGGCTGGGGGAGCCCGGACGCCAGGGTTCCGGGCCCAGTGCTGGGATGGGGAGGGGCAGGGCTGGGGAGCCCGGACGCTGGGATGGGGAGGGGAGGTGATGGGGAGGGGAGGTGATGGGGAGGGGAGGGGCAGCCCGGACGCCGGGGTTCCAGGCCCGGCCCTGGGATGGGATGAAGAGCGGAGGGGCAGGGCTGGGGAGCCCGGATGCCGGGGTTCTGGGCCCGGCGCTGCCCTGACTCTCCGCCCCTGCCCCCAGGTGGTGACCATTGCCGTGTACAGCTTCTTCGTGGCCTGTCTGATCGGGCGTCAGTTCCTGGACCCAGCCCAGGGCTATGAGGGCCACAACCTGGACCTGTGTGTGCCGGTCTTCACCCTGCTGCAGTTCTTCTTCTACGTGGGCTGGCTCAAGGTGCGGGGCGGGGGGCTGTTCTCTGGCTCCTGGGGGGCGGGGGCAAGACAGAGGTGCAGGTTTGGGGCTGGCAAAGGGGGTCAGGCAGGGTATGAGGGTGGGAAGACTCCCAGAAGGGGTTGGGGGGGCAGGAAGCTGGGGGGAGGGGCGGGACTGGTAGGGGTGTTGGGGGGGCAGGGGGAGGGGCAGGACTGGCAGGGGTTTTGGGGGGGCAGGGAGCTGGGGGAGGGTCTGCCCCCCCCACTCCAGTTGAGCCCTGCTCCCCCCAGGTGGCTGAGCAGCTGATCAATCCCTTTGGGGAGGACGACGACGACTTCGAAACCAACCTGCTGATCGACCGCAATTTCCAGGTGCTTCCCCCCACCCCGCTGCCAGCCCCATAGACTGTGTGGTCCTGACAGACACCCAGCAGGGACCCTTCCCCCAACTTAGTGTCTGGCTCCAGCTCACCCAGTCAGTCTGGGGCAGAGCCAGGGATAGAACCCAGGAGTCCTGGCTCCCAGCCCTGCCCCCGCTCTAACCACAGGCCCCCACTCCCCTCCCAGAGTGGGGGCTAGAACCCAGGGGTCCTGACCCCTCCCCTGCCCCCCAGGTCTCCATGATGGCGGTGGACGAGATGTACGACGACCTGCCCCTGCTGGAGAAGGACCGTTACTGGGACGCCTCCAACCCCCGCGCCCCGTACACGGCGGCCACCGTCTTCCTGCTGCACCAGCCGTCCTTCCAGGGCTCCACCTTCGACATGACGTAAGCCTGGGGGAGCTCCCTTGGTTGGCCCCTGGACCACCAGGATCCCAGGGGCACTTGGGCGTCTCTGCTGAGGTCTGACTAAGGCGGATAGGATGGTAACGATGCCGCCCCTTCCTGGAACCTGCTTAGTTCGGAGCCTCCCACCCCAGAGGTGGCTGCAGCTCAGTGCCGGGTGAGGGATTCCTGTATAATGAGGGGCCGTGCCCCACCCCAGAGCTGGCTGCAGCTTAGCGCCGGGTGAGGGACCCCTGTATAGTGAGGGACCATGCCCCACCCCAGAGCTGGCTGCAGCTCAGTGCCGGGTGAGGGATTCCTGTATAATGAGGGTCCGTGCCCCACCCCAGAGCTGGCTGCAGCTTGGCGCCGGGTGAGGGACCCCTGTATAGTGAGGGGCCGTGCCCCACCCCAGAGCTGTCTGCAGCTCAGTGCCGGGTGAGGGATCCCTGTATAATGAGGGGCCGTGCCCCACCCCAGAGCTGGCTGCAGCTCAGTGCCGGGTGAGGGATCCCTGTATAATGAGGGGCCGTGCCCCACCCCAGAGCTGGCTGCAGCTCAGTGCCGGGTGAGGGATCCCTGTATAATGAGGGGCCGTGCCCCACCCCAGAGCTGGCTGCAGCTCAGCGTATGTAGAATGAGCAGCTTTGCCCCACCCCAGAGGTGGCTGCATTCCAATCCCCGGTCTCTCCGTTGCAGGCTGCCCAAGGAGGACATGCAGTTCCAGCCGCTGGAGGAGATCGAGGAGGGGCTGGAGCCGAGCCGCCACGTCCCCCTGCACCTCCTGAACCGGCTGCTGTCCGCGGGCCCGCCCCGGGCAGCTTCGGCCGGCGCCTCTCGCTGCTGCGCCGCAAGAACAGCTGCGTCTCGGAGGCCTCCACCTCCTACAGCTGTCTGTGCCAGGACACGCAGAGCACGGACTGCAGCTGTGGGCCCCCCGCCCGCCGCCCGCCCCTCAGCGAGGGGCCCTTCGCCCCGGAGCAGCGGGGCTGGGAGGGGGGCGAGGAAGCCGGGCACTGGGCCACAGGCAGCCACGAGGAGGCCTTGCCCGAGGAGTCGGACCTTGCCCAGCAGTCCCAGGTCTCCTTGCTTCACCCCGACAGCGCCGCCCCTGTGGCCGGCGGCTTCCCTTCGCCGCAGGATACGGGGCCCCTCGTGGACACATCCTTCCTCTTGCAGCCTGGAGCCGCCAAGGAGTCCCCCGCCCGGAGCAGCCCCCCCAGCGCCGGCTACCGCCCCTGGCTGCAGAACCCCATCGAGGAGGAGACCACGGCGTGAGCCGGGACGTGCCGCGCAGAGACGCCCTGTGGCCAGGGGAAGGAGGGGCCAAACCCCAGAGCCGGGTGACCCCCCATAGCCAGGGGGCGCGGCCCCGACACCTAGATGAGATGGCAGAGAGGCCTGGTTCTGGGCCAAAGGTAGCTGAGCCCAGACAGATCTGGTGCTGCCAGATGAACGGTTCAAATGGGGGGGTGCTAATTGGAGGCCCATCAGTGCTCCCCCCCCATCCCCAGCAACCCAGACCCGTCTGCTTCCTGTCTCCCCAGCTACGGGCAGGGCCCTGGTGGTGCAGCACCCCCTGCTGGCTGATCCGTGCTGGACCCAGCTGTGGTCCCCTCAACTCTCATCCCCGAAGAACAGGGGGGGGGCCCTGCTGCAAACTTCAATCTCGGAGGCATCGTTTCATTAGCGCTGGGTTGCCCCGGCCTCTACCCTCACTCGCCAGCCGGGACTGGACATGGGGGGGAGGCGGCTGAGATGCGGGGGGAGCCTCACCCCTCTGTGGCTGGGGGAAATGGCTCAATCCCTTTTCTTTCACAGTCTGGCTCCTGCCTTTTTAAATATAATTTTATTAAGCTGCTCTTCAGTGGGGTCTTGTGCAGGGGAGGGTGGTGGGGGCATTGCTGGGAAGGCTGGCTGCAGTATGGCAGGAGCAGCTGCGTGCCTCAGTTTCCCCCTCTGCCGCAAGGAACTACTATCACTCAGATCTCTTGTGCAGGGCTGATGCGCTCTGCTGGACAGAGGCGATGGGGCCAGTCCCACCTCCAGAAACTTAGCTCATGTTTAAAATAAAGTGGGCTGGTGAAGGGGGCGGGGTAGCGGTGCAGGAAACACAGGCCAGGGCCTCTTGACCCAGGTGTTACTGTCTCAGTATCCTCCTAGGGCTGCACCAGGGCTGGTGGCCCCTCTTACCAGCCCAGTGCCTCTGGCTCACATTCCCTCAGTGGGGTACGGAGCCTGGGCTAGGACCCTGCTGGAGAAGTGATGTCGGCCTGTGGCTGGACCAGGAATGCCCCGGGGTGGGACCTGCCCCTGGGCGTAGATGAGGGAAAGGTCCTCATCATTAACTACAGCACTGCTCCTGCGCACGGCCCTGTTTTCTCACGTTTGTGCCATGGGGGTGGCAGTGGGGAGCTGGTATTTGGCCCCTGGGGGCAGGAGTAGAACCCAGGGGGGGCCCTGGAAGGGGGTGGGCCAGCAGGTTCAGAGCCTGAGCCTAGTTTGAACAGCTACATCTTCTGCTCTGAGCTGCATCTCAGTGCTGGGCGAGGGAGCTGCATATAAGAAGCAGCTGTGTCCCACCCCAGAGGTGGCTGCATCTGCATATAATAAGGAGCAACGCTCCCAGGTGGTGCTTGAAACCGTTCTCCCTGGGCCCCAGGAGAGCCGGTCTCCCACCGCCGAGCTCAGGGCTTAAAAACCGCTCACATCTGGTAGTAGTCCATGCTGCCCTCACCGCCCTGGGTCGACAGCTCGCGGGGGGCAGGCTCACGTCAGGCTCCTAAGAGCCGCTGCAGGGCGTGGACAGAAAAACCCCTTCGCTGGCTGCTCCTGGCCGGTAGCACCCAGACTGGCCCTGAGCTCAGCTCACAGGGAGGAGATTCCTGCTGGCCCCCGAGCTTGCAGCTGGGCTGGCCAAGCCCCTAAGAGAGAGGGGGCAGAACCAGGGCTGATGGATTGCCCATTGGGGGCAGTTTTTAAGCCCCGACTGACCCCTGGCCTACGCAGTCGTAGGCCCGCTCAGCCAGAATTTGTGCTTGATCTGGGGGGTGGAGTTTGTGGGCAGGTGGCTGGAGATGGTCCCAATTTGCCCTTCTGGTCTCAACCCAAAAACACCTCGAGGGGGTGTAGCTGCTTCACCCTCCCGCCCCCCAGGGCTGGAAAGCCAGGCAGAGCAAGAGCCGGGCCAGCATTGAGGGCACCTGCCCCAACCCGGTTTGATCTACAGCCCCGTGCGCTCTCCCTAAGGCAGCTGAGTGGCTGGGCTCACAGAAATGCCCAGGCCAGCTGCTGTGATTAAGAGCGGAAAGGTGGGGGTGTCGTCTCCTTTGAGGGAGGAGGAAAGCGAGGCACAGCCGCTCAGGGCCTGCTTTCGAAGCAGGGAGCTGTCCACATCCCCTGAGTCTGGGGGAATTGGGGGGGCTGGACTGAGATGGGTACAGAGTTGGCTCAAGGGCCCCCGGGGCCTCACCGGCCCAGCAGGGAATCACCGTGTCCTTTAACTCCAGCCTCAATCCACCTTCAGCCAAACCGGGTCAAAAAACTCCAGGCCCCTTAACTCACAGCCAGGTTTTCAACTGAACCAACCCCCCCCACCCCCAATTGTTTGGCTCCAGTTGAAATTGGCTCAAACCCAGTCTGAATTAAGCCAGAGCAGCTGCTGTTTAGCAAAGGCCAAGGGAAGCAGCCCCAGCCCAGGGGTCCTGCCTGGCTGTGCCTGCGAGAGTAGCCCTGCTCTCCTGCATGGATGGATGGTTTTAAACCTGCCCCCCCTGCAGGGCTCACCACGGTTGTACAGAGAAAGCCTGTGAGGGCCTGGGGCTGTGGGTCGATCCTGCCACAACTTTTAAACGCCCCAGCTGCTACCTTGCAAACTTTCAGGGCCCGGTCAAGGCAGAGAGAGCCAGATGCCTCAAGGGTGGGGAAACCTAGTGGGGAAGGAGGAATACAGGGGACACGGGGAGCCCCAGCCAGCAGCTTAGGACCACTCCTGCAAATAGAGTTTCCACAGCTGGCTGTAGGGTCCAGACCCCACCTCCTCTTTGCCCCTGGGACTGAGAAATTGGGAGATTCACACCCAGATTTAGCTCCCAGCCAGAAGGAGGAGTAGAGCCTGTGGGACAAGCCCTGAGCAGCCCCAGCCCAGGGGAAGAATGGGGGGGGGGGAGATCTATGATATGAGCTGGAAGGAGTAAATAGGGGCAGAGAACGTCGGGCATGGGGGAGTCCCTGCGATGGTGAGAGGTGGGCAGCCAGGGGCGTGGGGGAGAAGTGGAGGAACACACAGGCCCTGCTCCAACACCCTCTCTCTCCAGCAGCACCCAGAGCCGCTCTCATGTTGCAGGAGAGAATTGGGCAGCTGGCCATGTGCCGGGGGCTCTGCTCAGAGCACAGCAGCTCCTGCCTCCAGTCCTGCTGTTCTCCACCAGCAGCCCCTGGCGCTATGTGCCAGCTTCCCCTGAGGGGGGAAGTTTGTCTCTGCTTGGCCCTGGGAGATCACCCGCTTCCCTTGGGAACTCCCTCCTGCAGGAGGGTGCTAGAGGGAACAGGGGGATCCCTGCAGCCTGGAGCTGCACTCGTTAAGTCCCAGGCCCAGGAGTACCAACCACCCCAATGGGAGGGAGCGGGGCTGCTATTCTCTTCTGCAGGCTGGAATCTAGAAGCCGCAGGGAAGATCTATTCCCAGCTCTGCCCTGGGCCTGCTGGGCACCTCAGTTTCCCCATCTGCTAAGTGGGGCTAACACTAGCGACGTTGTCTGGGGACCAGGGAGCTCTGCAGCTGAACAGCGCTGGAGAAGAGCCGGTGCTTGGCCGCAGGACTGCGCTGATCCGCCAGGGCCGCTGGAGATTCTCCTGGCACAGGGCAGTTGCTGGGATGGGATGGGCGAGACGGGCCCCAGCCAGATCTCCTGCCTTCAGCTCCAGCAGGCATTGCCTGAGGCAGAGGGCAGGGCTCCCCAGGGAGGGTAAACGCCTCCAGAGGCCAGAGAGAGGGAGAGGTGAGATGGCCCCCGGTGTTGCAGATTGCAGGGAGTTAAGTGCTCCCTGGGCACAGCACACCCTCCCTCCAAGTGCCACACTGGGGGTAGCACTGTCCGGGGGGCGATTACCCTCTGCTGAGCCCCACCCACCTGCAGCACCACTGCCCGTGACCAGCTGGGCTGCGGGCAAGGAAAGGAGTTCAGTTTGATGCCCAATTCCAAGCCAGCAGCCAAGAGCCAGCCCCAGGCCTTGGCTAGGGCAGGAGCCCATGTGAGATGAGTGTTTTTTTGTTTTTTTTTGGGGGGTGGGGGGCTGGGTCTCAGCGCAGGCCCCAACCAGGCAGGGAAACATGCTGCAGCTGCCCCTGCACAGTGCCACCCACCATGGGCCCTGCTCCGTGACTGGTCCTCCTACGCGCCAGACACTAGTTATTATTAGGTAGATTACGGTAGCACCTAGCACTTACCATTCATAAACCAGTCGGAGAACACTTCAATCTCTCTGGTCACGCAATCACAGACATGAAGGTCGCTATCTTAAAACAAAAAAACTTCAAATCCAGACTCCAGCGAGAAACTGCTGAATTGGAATTCATTTGCAAATTGGATACTATTAATTTAGGCTTAAATAGAGACTGGGAGTGGCTAAGTCATTATGCAAGGTAGCCTGTTTCCTCTTGTTTTTTCCTCCCCCCCCAGATGTTCTGGTTTAACTTGGATTTAAACTTGGAGAGTGGTCAGTTTAGATGAGCTATTACCAGCAGGAGAGTGAGTTTGTGTGTGTATGGGGGTGGGGGGGATGTGAGAAAACCTGGATTTATGCAGGAAATAGCCCGACTTGATTATGTAAAGAGTTGTCACTTTGGATGGGCTAGCACCAGCAGGAGAGTGAATTTGTGTGGGGGGGTGGAGGGTGAGAAAACCTGGATTTGTGCTGGAAATGGCCCACCTGATGATCACTTTAGATAAGCTATTACCAGCAGGACAGTGGGGTGGGAGGAGGTATTGTTTCATGATCTCTGTGTGTATATAAAGTCTGCTGCAGTTTCCACGGTACACATCTGATGAAGTGAGCTGTAGCTCACGAAAGCTCATGCTCAAATACATTGGTTAGTCTCTAAGGTGCCACAAGTACTCCTTTTCTTTTTGCGAATACAGACTAACACGGCTGTTACTCTGAAACCTAGCACTATGGGGTCATGGGGTCTACCTAATCCGTGGAACCTGCTCTCAGACCCTAGGTGCTACTGTAATACACCCAATACACAGCCCCCAGAAAAATGGGGTCCTCTTCCAAGAGGAGGATGCCTCCCCACTACCATAATACACCAAATAATCCATGGAGGTGGGCTCCCAGTGCTACCATAATACACCTAGTTATAGCATCCAGAAAAATCCATGCAGCTACCATAATTCACCTAATAATCCATAGAGACCTGCTCCCAGACACTAGGGGACAGAGCAGCCAGATTACTGGGTCTCAAGAGACAGATGAGCAAGAACGATTCTAGCATCTTTATTGGTAGTGTAAAGATTCTGCACAGGAGCCAAGATGCCCCCGTGCGCCATTGCAGGCTGCCCTAGAGTAGAAAAATAAAAGACACGGGGCCCAGACCCACAGAACCCCTCATCGCTACCCCCGTCAGTTTTACAAAATATACAGTTTGCGTCTTTAAAACCCCAGCAGCGTTTGCCTAAAATCATATTCTAAAATGAAAAGAAAAAAAAAGAGGGGGGCTCAGCGCAATCTGGACCCCCCGCCACTTAAAAATAAAACTCAATGCACTTCAACCCACACAGAGCAGAGGTAAAAATACAGCAGATCACTTTAAAACCAAAAGATGCTGCTAGACCCGGCCTCTGAGAACGGCTACAGAAACCCCCAGTGCCGGAGAACAAGAGGCGGGGGGGGTTGCAACAGGCTGTAGTGACCGACTCTGGGACCTGCCTTGCTTTAGTGTTGAAGGAGAGGTTTGAAGCATCTCCTTGCCGGTAGCTTTAGCCTCTCAGCCCAGGCCCCTGGCTGGCCAGTTCTGTTGGAGGGCAGGGAACGGAGCAGAACCCAGGCAACAGGGATCCAAGATCCCCAAAGTGAAGCCTGGGAACAGGTGACACCTGATGCCACAGCAGCTAGGAAACGGACAAGGAAGTGGGGAAGAGTCATGGTGTGTGAAGATGCCGGGAAGGGGGTGGCTGGCACAGCAAGTCAGAGGCTCCAGCAGGGAATTATGAAGGGGGCAGACCCCAGCCCAGAGGCTGCAAGCCATCTCCCCTCACCCATGGGCACTGGCTGGGTGGCATGAAGCAGCAGAATCTGCCCAGCCCCCGACACTGATGGGACCAGCCATGAGCGCAGGAGCTGTGGTGCTGGCAGAGACCTCCTGGCGTTCAATGCCCCCAGCCGCACCGGCGCCCACCGTGGCTCAGCCCTGGAGAGGAGTTCAGCTGTGTTGCCACGTATGCCCCGAACACGAGCCAGCGCCCCCCCAGCTGGCATGGCCACAGAGGTTGACCGCCAGCTGCGCTCAGGAGAGTGGCCAAGAAGGGGTTAAAATTCAGGGGGGTTCTTTCAGAGGGGGGAGCGAAGGGAAGGGATCAGCTCCATGCTGGTGCTCAAAGGGACCAGCCCAGGGAGCATGGGGGAGTGTGTGTGTGGGGTCAGGGGCACTGGTTAGGGGCTGAGGCTCAGGGAGGGTCCTGGCTGATCCCCCTGCTTGCTCCCCCCCCAGCATTCTAGTAGTGCAAAGGAATGGGGGCTTGCAGCAGGGTGTCTCCCCCCCGCAAGATCACGGGCAGATCCACTCCCCCCAGCAGCGTAGGTCGTTCTACCACATCTCTGGGGGAGGGCAGAGGCAGAGTTAGCCCCTTGCTGACTCCATTCCCCCCCCTGCAAGTGACAGATGGCACCACTGGGGGTGGGTGCCACAGGGCAGCAATGGGCAAGGAGCTCCAGTTCCAAGACCCCCCCCCAACCCCACGCAGCCATGGAGGGGGGTGGGAGTGGGAGGGGCTCCGGTCAGTGCAGCTGTGGGGGCTTGTCTCCGTACTTGGCCAGCAGGGGCTGGGTCCGCCCCAGATGCCCCCTGCGGGCGTTGGTGGCCTGGCGCTGCTGGGCCAGGAAGGACTGGGCGCTGCTGGAGGTGGCCGATCGCTCCTCCGTGGCTTGCTGGTGGAGCGCCATGCCCTGCAATGGGAGGGGGGAGGTCAACGTGGGGGGCACAGGGACAGCCCCTGGGCACAGCCCAGCACCGAGGCCTGGCTGGGAGCTCAGCCCCCACCAGCAGGAGTCATGGGTTGCTGGGGCAGGGGGTCTGGCCCAGCCAAGGTGCTGTGGGATTCAGTTGGCACCACCCCCCTTGCCCCCCAGAAGGCCTGGCAGCCTGGCACACCCCCTGCGCTCACCGTATTGTACCAGGCGCTGATGATCAGCTTCTCTTCCTGCTCCCGCTGGGATCTCGTTTTCTCCAAGTTGGTCTGATGGGGGGGAGAAATGGGGAGGGGGAGTTAGTGGGGGAGGCGGAGCCAGGCTGGCTCCTAGGGCTCAGGGTGGGCAGATGGGGTGCTCTCCCCCCACCCCCTGCTTTGGGTCCCAGAGGCCACATGGGGGCCTCCTGCAGCCTTTGGCTCAGGGCCAGGCCTGGGGGAAGCTGAGACCTTGGGAGGGGAGGAAGCTGGTGATGGGGGGGGGCACCTTGGCTCCCCCTTCTATTCCACAGCACAGGCTGCCTGAATAATCCAGCAGCTGGTTCAGGGTGCTTGGCCGTGGCCACAGGTATCCCCCCACCTGGGACTGGATCCCTCCCTCTGGCTCAGCCCAGCTACTAGTGGGCCGGGCAGTGCAACCCCACCCCCAACCCCCAACTTGCTGGCTGCCTCTCTCGCCAATGGAGCCCTGCACTGCCCACGTCCAGAGGGTCCTTCCAGGGCACCACCCAGACCATCTGCACCTGGGATCAGATCATCCAGTCTGACCTCTTGGCTAGCACAGGCCACCCCCCCCGGCGAGCCCAGCAGCTGGAACTGGGGTGTGTCACCAGTGCCCAAGCCCCTGCAGTGGCAGGGAACGGATTAGACGCACCCAGATAACTACACCCGGTGCCCTGCGCTGCAGAGAAGGTGCCCGTGACCCCCCACCAAGCTCCCTGACGATCCGACATAGGGGGAAGATCTGGTGACCCAGATGAGCCAGACCCACCAGCCAGGCACCTAAGCAGTGGATTTTCTGACCCCTCCCGACTAGAGACCAAACCCTGATGCTTTGGAGGAAGGCAACCCACCCACCCTCCCAGAACACAGATGTGCCTGGTGTGGGGGGGGGGGGGGTTCCTTCCTGACCCCTGCAGATGACCGCTGAAGCCCTGAAGCAGGAGACTGGATTCCAGCCATCATCGCGATACAAGCGTCTGAGGGCAGCTGCGGCAGTTCTGTCCTCTCCGGGCCCAGGAAGGAAGGAGACTAACCCCACAGCCCAGCACCCTCACCTCCAGGTGATGGATCTTCACCTCCTTCTCCTGCAACTGGTTCTTTAAGGCCTGGATCTCGGGGGGGGCCTTGGATGGCTGCTGCTTGGGGTGCAGCGTCTTAATGACCTGGAAAGGAGTGGATACAGTCAGAGGCGTTACCGGGGACATCTCCCTGCCCCCATCCCAAGCCCGGCGGGCCAGGGGAGACCCCACCCTCCCCCGCCCGGGGCAGGACTCCTGCCGTGGCTGTCCGTGTTGCAGAGCTTCCCAGAGCAGCGCCCCTTGTGGGGAGGTACAGGGAGGACGGCCCCAGTGGCACTGGGGTGACGGGGCCCGGCCCTGCAGCCCTGCCATGGCTTGGGCCACTCGGGAGCGTCCCAAGGGATGGAGCCGGCCCAGCCTGGGGCTCCCGGCCCCGGCCCAGCCTGGGGCTCCCGGGCTCACCGTGCAGGCCTTGTCCATATAGCGCTTGTACCGCTCCTCCATGGCCTTCATGTCCTCGTCCTTCTTCTTCAGACACTCCTGCAGCTCGTTGATCTTCCTGGCGTCTGGGGGGGAGGGGAGCATCAGGAGGGGGGCCACATAAAGCATCCTCCCCCCTGCCCATGTGGGGAAACAGAGGCACAGAGCCACCCCAGGAGCACCTGGCTCCCCCAGTCCCGTGCTGCTACCAGGAGCTTCAAGTCACCCGCTAGGGACATGCTGTGGACACGGCGTCATGGGGGGAGCGACTGAGGGGCCAGCCCGACCAGAGCCCCCTCTCCACCCCCCCCCCCGTCGGAACTGAAGCCTCCCCCTCCCTGTGCGTCCACCCCTCCCCCCCAACCCCCATACTTGTGCTGTCCACTTTGGGCTCCAAGTCCTCAATGTATTCCCGCTTCTTCTGCAGCTCCGAGTGGGCCTGGTGCAGCTTCTCCCTGGGGCGGGGAGGAGACCAGGGCTGTCAGATGCCCAGTGCCCCCCTCCAGCCCAGATCCTCCTCTCAGCCTTGATACCTTGCCCCAGCTAATGAAGGGTCAGGCCCCCTGCTCGATTCCTGCCCCACCACTCTCCTTGGAGCTAGCTGGGGGACACCCACCCCTGCGGCCAGCTCACAATCCCGACTCACTGAAGGTACCATGCCCGCCCCATCCCGCCCCGCAGGTACTCACAGAACACCACAACTTACAGGTGCTCTTCCAGCTTCCTCTTCAGCAGGCAGGACTAGGGAGGAAGAACAGGGGAGGGTGAAGATCGAGAGCCCGGACCACGCAGGTTCTGAGGGGCTGGGAGCTGCCATGGCAGCTGGGCCCCAGCGTTCACGGCCCCTCCCCGCTCCGGAGAGCTTCGGGGGGGGGCTGAGACGGAGAGACAGCGCCTCCAGCGTCTTGGGGTCACCAGCTGGGCCCCCACCCACCCCTGCTCAGCTCTCCCGGAGCCGGCCCAGCCCGAGACGGGTGTGGCACCATTGGCACGAGTGGACACAGGCCAGCCTACGCCAGCCGGGGGGGGTGGGGGGGGGGAATCCAGCCCTTCCTGCTCTGAAGCCCAGCGTCCTGGCGCTGCGGACGCCCGAGCTCAGCCTCTGGCGCTCCACACTGCAGGGGAAGCCAGGGCCACGCAGAGCGACTGTCACAAGCCTCTAGCTAGTCCCGCGACCCCGTCCCCACCCCGGGCCTGACAGAGCGGAAGCGATTTTACATTGATTGAGCCAGTGGGGGGGACGGGACACACACACAAAACAAAACTGAAAACCCCCCAAAACCCCAGGGGTTTAGATGGTAACCATCGAAAGCGCATCTTAAAGGCAGTTTGTAACAGCCGGGAGACACATGTAACCAGGGGGGCAGCTATGACAGAGCTAGGACCCGTCCGTTCAAATCATGGGCTTAGCTACATCTAGAAAGGACACACGCCGCGATTTTCTGGGCTGCTCTTTAGAACGAGTGTCTCCATTTATAGCTAGGCCTGGAAGGAGTTGATTGTGTGTCGGAAAAAATCCAATTCACCATCCCCCCCGCCCCATGAGGAAATCTTGACAGAGATAATCACCAACGTGCAGACAGGCCAAGTACGATAAACGTGGGTTGAGAACTTGTCAGTCTGGGATTGGAGGAGATTTACTGGGGATCTGCGGACAAGTTGTGTTCTCAAGCTTTAGCTTTCTGAATCACAACGTCTGCCATTTGTCCGACCCCTCGCCTCGTTTCCCGCAACTGGGAAAACTTAAATGGATAAAAAAAAAATGTAAATTATAAACAAAGGGAGAGAGTGTTCTGCCCAGTCTATGTATAAACCTAGGCCTTGTAATAGGGCTTGGCTCCCTGCAGAGGCCGACGGGTAGCCAAATGGGCTGGAGGCACAGAATATTCCGCAGTTTCTCTTTCAATATACAGCTTGGTGCAATATACTCATATCTCCCAAGGGAGGTTAATAAGCCAGGAAGCGAATTAAGCAGCATTAACAGGCTACAAATAACAGTCAAGATTTCCGACAGCAACTAGCAGTATTTTGGGGGGAGGTCCCCCAACTCAAGACCTCTTATAAGCCGCCCAGTCCCCCACTCTCAGGAAGGGCTGGGCATCCACCCCGGAGATCAGGTGTCATGGGCTGGGCCCAAAACTCGCCATCCCCTCGCCCACGCAATAGGAAAGGAGCACAGAGAAGCAAGGTGGATTTAAACGAGGGGCTGGTTGGTACTTACAATGGCCTGTAGGGGTAGGGGGACAATCAGCCAGCGAGACAGAGGGGGTGGGGGAGAGAGAGAGGTGTTAGCGTGATCACAGCACAGAGTTGGAGTGCGGGGGGCACACGAGATTGCTGTGACGATTTCACACACAGAGGCAGCAGCACCTGGGGAGGATGCGGCTGGAGGATAGCAGCGAGTGGGCTCCCATCCCCCCCCACAGGGGACCCCAAGAGAACAGTGGGCTCCCCTTCCCAAGAAGGAGAAATCAGGGGAGGCTGAACCCCTTTCCAGCCGCCTCCTCCCCCTCATGCACAGATCTCCAGCTCCCCCCCCCGCCCAAACAGAGCTGTGGGGCAGACCACGCCCAGCCGCTCAAACCCAAGGGCACCCCTTCCCCCAACCCCCAAACCCAGTGCATTGAGTGGCAAGCTACTGCAGGTGCACTCAGCCACCCGGCAGCCTTTAGCCAGGGCGGAAGAAACGCAGGAGACCTTATTCCAAGTTCTCACATTTGGCTGGGCGCCCACATGGGGAGGGGCGTAGCCCCAGGGGCCCTGCCATGGTGCCCGTGCCATGCCCGCATACCCCAGGCTGAGCAGAACGAGCCGTTAGCTGCTCCAGTGGCTTCGGCATGGGAAAGGGATGGATCAAGGGGGACAAAACCGATCAGTCACGGGAGAGGGAATCTTTCCCCAATGCAGCAGGGCCCGAGGGTGCATGGCCCAGCACTGACAGTCCAGAATCTGCTCCGAGGAGGCAGGTCAGAGCCGCAGGGCGATGGGGCAGAGGTCAGGGAAAGCCATGTACAGCCCGTCCTCGGCCAGACTCACATCCTCTGCCTTGGTGCCCTGCTCCTGCAGGGCCTTCTGGAGCTCCTCCACCTGGGCCTTCAGCTCCGAGATCTGCTGCTGGTGCAACCTGGAGAGGGAGGAAGAAGGGAGAGGAGGCCAGCTGAGAGGAGGCAGTGGATGGCACGACCGGGACCCTCCCTGGGCTGAGGCTCCCACCCCCCCACCCCCCCCATCAGCTGGCTACAGGGAGCCAGGAGCCTCTCAGGTGAGATAGGTTTGGGGGAGGTCTCAGGTTACTTAGATCAGCAGCCCCTCCCAGCCTGGTCTCCCCGCCCCCGTTACCTCTGCTGGGTCTCCAGCCGGTTCTTGGTGCGGTTGGACTCCTCCAGCTGCCCCTGCAGCTCGGCCAGCTGCTGCTGGTACGTCGCCTCCTGCACGCACAGCATCTTGTTCTCGTGCTGCAGGCGCACGATGGTCTCCCTGGGGTCGGGGAGAGGGGTGAGGTCAGGAGGGCAGATGGCCCAGGGGCCCCCCAGCCTGCTGGCCCAGGTGCAGCTCCTGGGGGACCACAAGTCCCAGCATGCAACGCTGCATCTCAACCCAAGAGCCAATCACCGGCTTGGACTGAGAGGCAGCATTGCATGCTGGGACCTGTAGTCCCCCAGGGGCTGCAGCTCCTCATTGGGGCATCTCCAAGCCACCCTTTGGCTACTCACAGGCCTCTGCAGCACCAGACAGGGAGGCTGCAGGAGCTAATTCAGCCAGCCCAGGCAGAGGTTTGGGGAAGCCCCAGCAACCCCGGGGGAGGGGGGGGGGCAGGCTGGGAGACCCCTCCCTAAGGTGGGAGGTGCAGCAGTGCTAAGAGCTGCCCCTTGCCCCCCTGCTGCGGGCACCAGGCAGTCTGGCTGTGCAGTGACATGGCAGGCATCGTGCCCCTGGGCCAGGTGGGCGTTGGCCTGCTCCAGTCCATTTGCCCCCCCCCAGCCCAAAGAGTCATCACCCCGAAGAATTTAACCCTTTTACTCCTGGCTGCACAGACAGCTGGGAACAGCTCATGAGCCTGAAGGTCGGCAGCAGAGACCCTCCCCGCAAAGGGGACTAGCAAGATTCTGCAAACGCAACACACTGAGGGCTTGACAGGAACAGCCCCCCCACCCCCCCAGGTACGGTGGCCTAAAGGTGCCAACAGACACCACACCCCTCTAGCCCGAGGGCTCCAGGGCGGGAGCCTACTTGAGTTCAGTCGGCAAGATTTCAGCGGCCAGGTTGTCCATGGGAGAAGAGACTCCGTCCAGCAAGGCATCTGCAAGAGGAAGGGGGTGGGTGGGTTGTGTGTGGAGGAGCAGGGACCAGCCCTGACTTGGCAGCTCTCTACTAGCCCCGAGCATGGGGGGGGTGGGATTCTTCTCTGCCCCTGGCCGGGACTAGGGACGCAGAGATCCCAGGCTAGGGTCACAACCAGCAGCCTCCTGCTCTGGGCTAGTAGCATAGGCCATTCATGAAGCTGGAACAACGCCCCCCGTTCAGTGGGAGAAAGTTGAGCCCAGGACACGGCCGGCAGGGGCCAGGGAGGAAAGAGTAAGAATGTCCGCCCCCAGCAGAGAGTTATGAAAATCTTGCTTATGTGGGGCAGGGTCTCTTTCCTAGTGTCCCCCCTCCCCCAAGTTAGTTTATGTGCGGTAGCATGGGGGGCTCGCTTAGAAATGGGATACAGTTCTTGAATTCAATATCTTGTGGCAATGAGTTCCACAGATTCTGTATCACAGTTAAAAAAACAACCCAATGAATTAGAGTTGGTCAGAAAATGGGCTCCCCACCCCAGGGTCGGGGCAGGGAGGAGTTTGAACTAAAATAGATTAACAATTTCAGGGGGTTTGGCCAAAATATTTCAGATTTAGAAGTGCCCCTGCAGTGCCCCATGGGAGTTGTAGTTCTGGTGCCTTGTTCTACCATTCGGGCCACGCTCCCTGACGGGACTGCATATCACCCACCTGCCCCCATGAGGTGAGATAGGGGTGCATCATCAGAGAAGTAGGCTGGCTGGGGAGCCCAGCCCATGGAGGAAAATAAGGAAACAGAACTATACCTACACGTCCTCATTCTTCTCTCTTGGCCAGGTTCCGCAGCTGGCCCACATTCCTATGATGCACCTTGATCTCGCCTCATGGAGAGGGCGGGTGGGTGCATCATGGGAGATGAAGTCCAAGGAGCTCAGCCCATAGAGGAGAACAAGGACATGAGGAAACCAAACTTCAGCTCCCACAAGGCACCATGGCGGTACAGCCAATCTGCCTAGTTTGACGGCAATACACAATTTTTCCACGGAAAGCAGGTGCATGTCCCAAAACAAGTTTGTTTCGCCCAAACTCCCCTTCGCCCAAACTCCCCTTCTCCACCAAAAAAAAAAGTTGACCAAAAATTTTTGACCAGCCCCATAACAGACGCTTCCAACAAGGAGCCGGCTCGAATTCCATTCTCCAGTCCCTCGCACCCAGCCGACGAAATGGGAGCTGGAACGTTCCCAGTGGGAACACGCCGTGCTCAGGAACGAATTGAGGTGGATGTGCCCTGCTTGTTACTACTCGCCTTCCATCAGCTGATAAGCTGCCGAGTGTAAAGTTCAGACACAAGGTTGCCACGAGTTTGTGGACGACAATGCAGCTTGGAAGGAGAAAAAACCAAAACATCACGTTCTTGGCTGTGCAGATTCCTGGCCTAGGGAGCGGAGCCGAGTCATGTGGAAACGCAGCCTCTGACCAAGGCCTTGGCTTTGTACTTGGCTTTATTCCTGATCTCGGCTAATTGTCTGAGGCTAGATCAGGGGGTGTTGGTAGCTGTGTCTCCAGCTCTGGGCCTGCTGCTGTTTGTAAGGGGGACTCTGAATTACAGCGAGGCCCTGTGATGGCGGGTTTGGTTTGAGCTGCAGTTAGAGCAAGAGGTTTGACAGCTTTTTAAGCATCACGCGTTTGTGGGCACTCAGCATCTTGGAAAAGTCAGACCCTGGGTGTTGTGAGTCAGATCCCCAAAAGTGTGAGGGGCCTCCCCCAACCCTCCAAACAGAGGCAACTTCTGAGAGTTTCCCAGCACTTATGGCTTCAAGGGAAGCCTGAAGAAGCCCCAGTGCAGGGATGGCTGCCCGAGTCTGCAGAGAGCGTGAACCAGCTCAGAGGCGCGAACAGACATCTCGTTACGTCTGTCCTCTCCCTGCTCCAGGCCAGACAGGAGAGGGGCAATTGCAGCAGGAGAGGCAGCTGCTGCTCCCGCCCCCAGCCCCCCCGCACAGCTCCAGACCGTTCCTATTCCAGCACAGCTGCACCCACCTGCTTGGCTCAGGTACGTCTGCTGCACTTGGATGCATCTGAGCTCCTCGTTGGCCTCGCGGAGGGAGTGCCGCTCCTCAATCAGGCGCTGCGGGGAAGGGGGTGAGGGAGCAGCGGGGGGTCAGCAGAACCCTTCACCCAGGCGGAGAGCATGATCGCCTCGCTCCCAAACCTGGGACTCCCCACGCCCAGGCGGTCGGCTCTAACTGCTAGGTGCCACTCCCCTCCCGGAGCTGGGGATACCGGGCAATTCCAACTCCCAGTCCCCGCCCCCCGGCCTCACCTCCTTCTCCTTCACCAGCGCCTCGAACTTCTCCTTGAGGTTCCTGAACTCAAACTGCCACTTCTCGGCCTTCAAGGCCTCCTCCGAGTGTTTGCTGTGCAGCTCGTGCACCTGTGGGGTGACAGGGACGGGGTCCGACGCAGCCACTGCTTCCGGGTGCAGACCTCGACCCCCCAGCTGGGACACCAGCAGATCAGGGAAACCCCTCGCACCCCGCAGAGAAGTGGGGAGAGCCTCTGCTGGAGACGCCAGCCCCCCCTACCCCCCACTCTGCCCGGGGAGCCCCAGCCCCACCTGTCTCCTGTGGGTCTCCAGCTGGGAGCGGACGGCATTGGCCTTGTGCAGCTCCTCCTCCAGCTTGCAGGTGCGCTGCATGTAGACCGTGTTCCGCTCCTCCAGCAGCCGCACCTGCCGCCGCAGGTCGCCCAAGTCCTCCAGCTTCTTCTTGTACGTGGCCACCGCGGCCTCCAGCTTGCCCACCTTGTCCGACGAGTGCCTGCCGGGGGCGGGAGGAGCTCGGCCGTCAGCCAGGGGCCCGGCTAGTGGCACCCAGTGCAAGTTCTAGCCACTCCTCTGTGGCTGCAGCAGATCACCGGGTCATTGGGAGTGGGCCGGGGGAAGAATACTCTGAGCCCTGGCTCCCAGCTCACCCCCTGGCTCTAACCCACTGGACCCCAGCGCCCCCCAGAGCCAGGAGTCCCTGGGAGGACCGCGGCATGCTCTCCATTCCAGGGAGAACGGCCACACTGGGTCAGACCAACGGCCCATCTAGCCTGGTAGCCTGTCTCCCGACAACGGCCGGTGCCGGACGCTTTAGAGCAGCGGTCCCTGCTACGCTGCCCGCCAGGGCATTTTTGTGCGCCCACAGGACACCGCGCTGCCGAAATACCGCCCGCCAAAACGCCGCCGAGAAGCACTGCCGTTTCTCGGCAGCATTTCGACGGTGGGGTGGCCGGCGCCTGCCAGTCTTCTGGGAATAGCAATATGCTATTCCCACAGAAAGGCTGGGGACCACTGCTTTAGAGGGAACGAAGACAGCAGAGCCATTCTCAGGTGCTCTGTCCCCTGTCCCAGAGATTTAGGGACACCCAGAGCGGGGGGTGGTTTGAACAGCTGCTGGGTCCAAGGCCAGCAAACCCAACTCGAGAGCACGGAGCCCTGCTTTGCTCAGTTTGCCAGCCGCACCTCTAGCCCCATCTGGCAAGTGGGGAATCCAACCAAGAATCCCTGGCACCAGAAACTCAGCCGCTCCCTCTGGAGCTGGAGGGCCTCCTCTGTTAGCTAGCAGTAGTAGACTCTTATCTTCAATGTGGCATGCTCCTGTGCACACACCGGGGGTAGGAAAAGAGGAGAGAACAACATGCCCTTAACCAGTGAGATTGCATCAGAATCCCGCAGGGGGAGACTTCCTGCCTGATCCTTGCCCTGGGGCATGAGGGTTACCTCCCCCCACCCTTAGAGTTTTAGGGTGCTGTGGTTACTCACCTGCTGGGCAGGTGAGGGGGGAATCCCATCAGACCCAGGGCTCTCACCTCAGCACATCCATCTCGTCCTTCAGGGCCTGGGCCTCCTCGGCCAGGCTGCTCAGTGCCTCGTTCCGATGCTGCAGCTCCTGCACCTCCCTCTCCAGCTCCTCACAGCGTGTGCGGAAGTCCTCCTTCCCGCTCTCCAGCCTGCGGGGGGTGGGCAGCCCCAGACAAGACACTGAACCTAGCTCCCCAGCTCTAACCCCTAGGCCCCACTCCCCTCCCAGAGCCGGGAACCGAACCCAGGAGCCCTGGCTCCCCAGCTCTAACCCCTAGGCCCCACTCCCTTCCCAGAGCTGGGAACCGAACCCAGGAGACCTGGCTCCCCAGCTCTAACCCCTCGACAGCACTCTCCTGCCAGAGCCGGGAACCGAACCCAGGAGCCCTGGCTCCCAGCTCTAACCCCTAGGCCCCACTCCCCCTGCCAGCCCACCCACCTGAAAGTTTCCTCCTGCAGCTGCGTGATCTGAGCCTGCAGCAAGAGCAGTTTCTTGCCACCTGTATCTGACTCCAGCCGGTTCTTCTGCTCCTTCAGGGTCTTGTTCTCCAGGATCAGGGTGTTTTTCTCTTCCACCAGGAGGGAGATCTGCGGGCCAGGAGAGGGAGTCAGACCCCCCAGCCGATGGGGACAGGCAGACAGCCAGGAGATACCCCTCGGCCCTCCCTCAGGACATGAGCCTTTGGACTCGGTGCTGTCCCAGAGCCAGCGGCTTCCGCCCACCCCATGCTCTGTGCACTAGTGTAAACGGGGATCCTGAAAGGGCGCACCCGAGACCCGTCAGAGCTGGGGAGGGAACCCAGGAGTCCTGGCTCCCAGCCCTGTGCTCAGACTGGGCCTTTGCAATGCAGAATTTGTGAAGCTTCCACGCTACAGTGGGGCCCTCGGACCCACTCCGATGGACCCAGGAGTCTCGTACCAGCAGCGCGGGGGGATGGCTCAGGACTCGGCTGCATGGTCCCGGGCTTCCTGGTATCCTGGATTCAGGCCGTCTATGGCCACACTTATGCCGGAGCCCCCCCGCCCACAGGAGTAGATTCCAGGCTGGGGGGTGGGTGGGGGGGAAGGATACCAGCTCTCCCAAGGGGGTCAGAGCTCCCCTAAGCCTGGCATCCGAGTTAGGTCCTTGACTCAAGGCATCTAAGCAGAGGTGGCGGGGTGGGCTGCACCCCTTTATGAAAACAACAGATGGGGATACAAAAATCAAGGAACTCCCACCCTTTCAGGGCAGGGTCACAGCTCTCCAGGGGGTCACGCCCAGGGCAGAGGACACGGCAGGCTGCCTGGCACATGCCTTGAGTAGGTGAACCCCAGGTACTGGATGCCCTCTACAGCTAGGGAGGAGTGGCCCTAGCTGCTCTAACTCTGGCTACCCTTGTTAGACACACAAGCATCCAGTCCCCTCTTCTGATTCCTGCCCAGCTCTTGGCCTCAACGCCATCATGTGGCAGCGAGTTCCACAGGCCAACGACTGGGAAAGAGCATCTTTCTGTTGATCTGCGAAACTGGAAGGCCATAAATTCAAATCCGAGCGCCCCGTCACTCTGGTGCTTCTGGAGAAGGGAGAACAGACACTTCCTTCTCTACCCCAGTCATTTTAGGTTCGATTTATCACAGCCCCACTCTCACTGCATCTCATCACTGAGGAGCATCCCGCTCTTTCCACAGAGCCTCAGATAATTCTAGTCCCCTTCCTTGGAACCCCAATAATTCAGCAGTATGCTTTTAGAGACGTCGACCCCCCCGACTTTGCAGAGAGGGGAAGACAGTTTGGAGCACAGAGTTCTGGAAGGATGTGAGTAGGTAAGTGAGCCGCGCCAGGGCCGTTTCAAGCAGGTCCATGACACACATGCTCATGCAGAGGAAACGAACACGACGGCGTGCGCAGCTTTGTCAGTAGCTCTGTTACTGCAGGGGAGAGAGGGGGTGGGGGCAAACGGCGAACTCACCTTCCCGCAGGGGAACTGTGTCTCCAGGGATACGTTAGCACCTTACGGGAGCAAAGGGGGCGGTTTATGGAGAGCGGGTGGCTGGGAGACCATTGCACTTTGCACCGCAATGGGGAAGGTTCTTGCTATATGGGCATCTGAAGCGGAAACCCACCCTGATCCTCTGTAACCGGGGAGCGAGGATTTCCCATCTATCCTGGTCAGTGGCGGGGGCTTTAGCACCAGCCAGGAGCCCTCTTCATTCTGGAGTCAGACACCTTCCGCGTGCACCCAGCTGGGATCTTGTGCCCCAAAGCTGACGAATCGCTAGGATGGCTACAGAGGCTCAGCTACCTGGGGAACTCCTTGCTGCAGGAGGTGTACCCAGAACAGAGCTGGGTTTCCTTCCCCCCAGTTCAATTTGCTGCCCTCACATCGTTGTGGATCTGTTCTCATATTAGGGGATGAAGGTAAACAAGAGCCCGACTGGCATATTGCTGCTAACACCGGGTCTCTCCAGCCACTTGCTACCCCACGCCTGGCTCTGCGGTAGCCATGTTGGACCCCCGAGGGGCAGGGAGATGGCCAGGGTTGCCCGGCCACTCAGCGGCAGAGCCAAACAACAGAACCCAGCCATGCAATCTGTGCTGAGGGCACCCCCACCAGAAGACCTGGGTTCGATTCCTGGCTCTGCTACCGCCTCCCTATTGGAGTCACTTCATCTCTCTCTCAGTTTCCCTCCTCTGAAGCAGGGAGAACAGTCCATCCATTCACCCCACCCTTTGCTCGGCTATGTAGATTGAGCAGCTGTCCCTGCTCAACGTACGTACAGAACCAAGCACAACAGGGCCCCAGCCGTACAGAGAACTCAGGGGTCCTGACTGAATCTCATTTACATCACGCCAGACCTGATCTAGCCCCCGTCGGATAACCCGCCCACCCCTCCCAAAACATACCCAGCTCCAAAAGCTGGAGAGCTACACCACTGGGTGGGGAGAGATGCAGAGGCCCACACGCCACGCAGCCCCGGAGCAGACACACTGCAACCACAAGCCAGCCGGAGAGGAGACACCCAGAGAGTGCAGACGGGACCATTGGTGGGTGGGCGGGTTCCTTGGGCCCGCCTGACAGCTGCTGCAGCAGGGATCAAACCGGGGACGCCCGGAGCCCCTACAACTTCAGCTGGAGACTAAAGGGTCTGGAGCCAAGAGAGCAGCTGACCCTCTGGGGGCTGGGCTGAGACACAGCTGCGTTGCCTGGGGTCCTTTCAAAGCCAGCTAGCCAACCCCCCAGGCCTGAGTTGGGTGAGATTAATTCTGGCTGCCCCCAGCCCAGAGCCAAGCCAGGGAGGAGCCCACCTGTTGCTCCAGTTCCTGGCAGCGCTGCTGCATGTCATCCGGCTCCTCCAGGTCCTCGCTGAGGAAATAGTACTTCCGGGACTGCAGGACAGAGGGGGTGACGTTAGAGAAGGGGATCACAGACAGATCTCAGCACAGCACCTTTCCCACCGGGGGCAGGGATCAGGAGACCTGGAGCCAGAGACACTCCACCCCCTCCTGACAAGTCACAGCCATGGCCCCCGAATTCTCCCCTCTTTTACAGGTGGGGAAACTGAGGCACGGTACCTGGCTATCGAAGTTGCCGTACGTCTCGGAGGCCAGCGTGTCCAGCGGGTCCTTGGTCATCAGCTGCAGGAGAGAAAAGGTTACAGATGTTCAGGAGGCAGCTGGCAGGAAGCAGATGGGCCAGCACAAAGCCAGGCAGCGGCTCCGCAGTGGTTTGCATGGGGGGGGGGGTGAGAGAGCAAGGGGCTGCGGGTCAGGAGGGAGGCGCACCATTGGCAACAGTCTCATACCCATGAGTGCCAGCCCCAACGAGCCCCCCATCCCCCAGCAAGCCACCCCACCCCACCCTCCCAACCCAGCTGGCCGGCCCCAGCTCACCTCCTGAATGGCAGCCATAACCACGTGCTGGACGGACTCCTCCAAGGTCATGATCTGCTGGATGTGCTCTGGGATGGAGGAAGGGTAGCGGCTGAGTCCCTGCCCCTCTTCCACCCGCCCCCCAACCACGCCAGCCTCTCCCTCCAGCACGAGCCCCTTTCCCCCTGCACAGCGTGGGGGCCAACCCCCATCCCAGGGGTATGGAGGCCAGCCCCCCGCCCCCATGCCGCATAGGCTCCCAACCCACATGGCACAGATGCCAACATCAGAGGCCTCTGTGCCAGGTGCCATGGGGCTGAGGCCGGAGGCACAGAGCAGCAGCCCCCAGGGTAATTCCACAGGGGGATCCCTGTGCTGCAGGGAGGGGGAAGAAGGATTGGGGGAGGGGAAAGCGGGGAGGCCACATGCTCAGGCTCAGCGAGGAGAAGGCTCCTTTGCCAGCCACCTCCCCTGGGGTTCCTGGGGGGGGAGGGGAGAGGGGAGCTGGGATTCAATCCCCTCCCCTGCACTAGCCATGCCATTGGGGAACAGACAGGGAGCTGGGTCTGTCCTGGGGGGGGGAGGAGGGGGGGAGATCTGAGCTAGTTTGTGGGAGGGGACTCTGCACATGGAGACCATGGAGCCCTTAGGTGGGGGGAGGATCATGCTGCTTTTTGGGGACCCCAGAATGGCACCTTCCAAAAATCACATGCAAAGACACCGCACCCCGGGCAGGGAGTAACCACCTGCCTCTCCCCCACACTGAGCCAAGCCCCCGTAGTCTCACACCTTGCTTCTTCTCACAGCTGATGGCACACCCCAGCACCAGCTGCAGCAGCTTGCCCAGCTCTGAGGTGTCCGAGAACTCCCCGATCAGGTTGACGTCTGGCAGGTGACGCTCTGAGATCTGGTGACCCAAGACCTGGGGGAGAGATGGAGGGTTCTGGGGAGGCAGCGAGGGGGCCCAGAGACACCCCCTGCCCCCCACAGACACCTGCCCCTCCTCCCTATGTGCTCAAGCCGGTGCCTAAGGGGGTCGGTGCACAGACCCACCAGACTGGGGCTTCCAGGCTGACCTACCAGAGCCAGCTGCAGAGCCCCCCGGGACCAGGCCTATTGGGGCAAGGAGGCACCCAGAGGAAAACAGACACTTTAAACCTACCTCAAGACATACAGGGTGAGTGAGGGTACCATCCAGGGGCTGTTAGAATACACCCCCCCCCCCCATCAGAAAGGGCAGCATGGTCTAGTGCACAGGACATGGGCTAGGAATCAGGACATCTGGGTTCTAGTCCCAGCTCTGCCATGGACCTTGGGCAAGTTGCTTTCCCTGTGTGCCTCAGTTTCCCCTCCCATCCTGTAGGACTCTAGACCATGAGCTCCGCAAGGCAGGGGGCTGATCTCAGCCAGGGCCCTCTAGGTGCTACTGTAGGGCACCTAATAGCCACCCCCCCCCTTCCCTCGGGGACACTCACATCTTGGGAGTACTCCAGCACGCTCTGCAGGATCTTTTTCAGGTTGCTCACCTGGAAGAGAGAGTGTTGCAGGATTCTATTGCCGCACACACCAGATCCAGGGAGAACTCCCCCGCCCCCTCCAACTGGGCTGACGCTGATCTCACTGGGGGCAGGGCTGAGAACCCACAACTCGGCTCAGGCAGCTGCCAGACCAGACCGGCACTCAGTAGGGGAGCTGCAGGGTGGGCGCTTGGCCTGGGAAGGGCACACAAGGCAGCGCCACGGCTGGCTCGTAAGCAGGGTGGGGGGCAGCCAAGCCCCCAAAGAGGATGGGAACAGCCAGCTGGAAAGTTGCAGAGTGGGGAGGGGATTCAGTCACTTCGTGCTCGCCAGATCCCATGGCAACCTCCTGCCTCACACATCCCACAGTCCCAGGGGAATGGGAACAGATTGAGACTGTCCACACCTAGCCCTGCTTGAGAGGATACCAGGGCCTTCACAATTGGGGCGGCGGGGGGGGTGGCGGTGGTGGTGTGAAGAGATGGTTTAAAACTCTCCCCCCATCCCCATTCAAGCCAGTTACCTTGAGCCTCCAGTTGTCACTGGTGTCATCTTTGATCCGCAGCAGCCAGGTCTCATTGAACCAAGAGGAGTCTCTGAAAGGGAGGAAGGGACAGGGCAGGGTGGAATGGGGGGGATGCGGAATGGGAGGGGAATTCCTGGCCTGACTGCAGCAGCTGCCACCTTGGGGCAGGATCCGGTTTCCCTGCTGGCTGCCCACGCCCAGGGTGGGCCGTAGGCAGGGATCTGGAATCTTGCTGGGACAAGGGTCAGGAGGTGGGGGCAGACGTGGGCACAGGCTTCCTGTCAGCTCCACTCTGCCCTCCCTACAGGCCCCTTGCTCCAAAATCCTCCCCCCCGCCCCAGGAGCCCAAAGCACCAGAGATCCAAGCCCAGTTGCCCCGGGTCTGGACAGAGAGGGATGAGCCCCAGTCTAGCACCACGCCCCCACATCAGCCCTGCCACTCACTCTAGCTTTAAACGGCTCCCGCCTCTGGGGGCTGCAGGCCAGTACTTACATCCTGTGCAGGACCTGGGCAATGGGGACCCCGCTAGTCAGATCCTGGTAGGTATGGCACGGAGATGAGACGTGGAAGGTCTGCAGCTGGGAAGGAGGACACAGAGGTGGCTCAGCAAGGCAAAGAGTGAACGAGATTTGCAGGGGACAGGAAAAGCCACCCAGAGACCCAGCAGGGGTAACCCCTGCACCCTGGGCAATTGGCCAGGGCTGAGGATTGAACCTGGGACCTCTGGATTCTTAATGCCGGAGCTAGCTGTTAGCCAAGGCAGGAGGGCGGCATCATCCCTCCCTCGCACCCAACACAGCCCCACCCACCAGGGAACACTCCAGAGCAGGCACAGTCTATGGGGCTGATGGTTCGGGACGTCCAACCCCAGCAGAAGCTGGAGGGAGACACAAGGAACTCCCCCACCCCCAGGGCAGCCAGCCAGCACCCCCGCCCTTGGGCAGGTTTGGAGCCAGTGCCCCCTAAAGGGGAAAGGCCCCATAGCCCGGTTCAGGTGTCACCCAGGGACGAATCCAGATCCTAGTTGCTCACCCTCCCTGCGGGCCAGTCGTGCCCACATCCTACCCCCCCGCCCCCCAACCGGCCTTCCCGGCCATGGGGGCACAGACCCACCCTCTCCGGCACGCCACACAAGACAGGTGCTAGCCCAGTGTTACAGCCTCCCCTGGATCACGCTGGGCCAAGGGATGGGACCAGCCACCCCTGACTAACCCAGGTGCTGAAATCCCCCCCCTCCATCCACCCCCCTGCCCCACAAAAAACCGGCACCCCAAACCAAGAAGGAACCAGCCGCTAGCCCAGCAGCCGAGTAGGATTTCACATTCAGGGCAGCGAAAGGACGCTCGATCAAGCTAGTGTCCTCCCGCCCATCCCCCCATGCTGTGACTCCCTCTGTATGCGGCAGGTTCCCCCTTAAACCTATCCCCCGCCTCCTAGAGAGACCCCCCACTCTGGCCTGGGACCCGGCTTCAGTTTCTAGCCACCTGTTGCAGAGGCTTCCTGAAGCTCCCTCCCACTTTGGGGTGGTGCTGGAGGGAGCAAACTGCCAGCACCCCCCCATCACCGGGCAGGAGCTCCCCCCACCGAGCCCGCTGGCTGAGTCACTGCACTCAGCTGCCAAGCAGGGGCCCGGAGGGCAGACCGGGCTACAAAGCCACAGGCCAAATGGGGGCAGGGCCCCTTCATTCCCCCCCACTTCGGAAAGTGGTAGAAAAGACACACACACGCCCAGCAACAACAGCCCCTCCCCGGCTGGCTGGCTACAGACTTAACCAGGCAGCATCAGCACTCCTGTGATCTCCAGGTCAGACTAGATAATCAAACAGTCCCCTGCAGGCTGGAGAACTACGAATTGCTCCCCCTGGCCCCGGCCCCCACACCTTGGCCCATCCCCAGAGGACCCCCCCACTCCCACTCCTCTAGCTAGGGGCAGTTATCAGTCTCTGGTGCCCCCACAGCCTCACAAAGGTGACCTATGCAGCTCCCGCCCCCATGAACTCCAGCCATGCTGGGGGGTTAGCACCATGGGTTCCTGTCTCACCAGGAGACAGGCTGAGACCCAGAAATTTGTTTCATAGATGGGCCACTGAGCGGTCATCAGCCGGAGTGATTGTCTGTCGTGTTCCCCCCGTGCGCCCCAACAACTCAGAATCAATGCCCCAGAGGGAAAGGCCCAGTACCCCATTCCTTGAGCCAGCCAGCTCCCTTGTCCTGGGGCCAGATCAGAGCCAGCATTCCCTGGAGGGCAGAGGCCCCATACCCCATTCTCCACCCCCGCCCCGAGCCAACCAGTCCCCCGCCCTCTAGAGGGCACCATACCCCATTCCCCAACCCACCACTACAGCGAGACTCCCCCCAGCCCCAGGCAAATTAACTGCCTTGCTACTGCAGTACGGTCATTAGTTAATGGGGTTATTACAGCAGTGCCTAAGGGATCACGTGTACAGCTCCTAGCGCACCCCCAGTAGCAGACCCCCCCACACATCGAGGAGCTAATCAGCTACGGGATGTTGCTGCCATGGTTTTATGACCGAGGTGCAAGGCAGTGACTGGCTCGCCTGGGGATTGCCGGGGTGGGGGCATGGGGGTTAAAAGGCTGCTGTCAGGGCAGAGCCCGAGCCATTGGTGTTGTGTAACTGCCCCGGGATGGTACCAATGGGTTGGGAAAGGTCTGGCTGGAGCCGCCCCAGCTCAGGGGAGGATCTGGTACCTGACCCACTGACAGGGGTGCCCCAAGGGACTGTTTAAGAGTAATGCACTGACCCCATGGACCCGTGACTCCAAGGTGGGGGAGAAGCGCAGAACACACAAGCCCCGGGTGGCAGAGTCCCCGTGGCCAGATCTCCCCTGAGCAAGAGCGGCTCAGCCGTGACCTCCCAGCGCCCCAGAAGCCTGAGCAGGTCTGGCCGGGTTTTCCCAAAACATAGTACTTGAGCAGGGCAGCTTTGATCTCCTGGCCTGATCTCCCAGTTCCATAATCCTCCCTGGCAGGGCTGGGCAGAGACACAGGAAGGGCCTTCGGCTCAGGTTCAGCCATGCGGGCCTTAAACATGGTCAGGGTGGGCCGCCTCGTCCCCAGTCTTCTCTCCTCTGTCCTGGTACAAGTCACCCCTGCTTGTCTTGCCACCAGAAGTATTAGCCAGGGCACTGCTGCAGGGGAGCTCGCAGCACCAAAGTCTGCGGTTTGAGCCATTGTCTTCTTCCTGCAGACCTGTGCCGAGCTTACCTGTCCTGCCCACTGGGGGTTGGGACAGGAGGTATCAGGTGTTCGGCCGTTGGAGCTCCCACTGTCTGGCCAGAACCTCCAGTGACCTGGGCCGGTTTCAGCCAGACCTCTCGGCCTATTCACCCCAGCCCATCCCATACCCCTCTCAGACACCTCCTGCCCCGGATCTCCCCCAACAGCAGCGTCCTAACCCACCGCGCTTCCCGGATAGTAATCCCCGGGTGAGCCAGTCGCTGCCCTGCGCTCCAGAAAACACCCCAGCACCCTGGGGGCCAGCCTGTGGCCAGGGGTCCCTGCTTGGGTCAACTCTCCCTTTGCAGCTCCTGCTAGCGAGGTGCACCCGAGGCTGTGAACATCAGCAGGCAGTGCCCCAGGGTGCTGGGGGGAGAGGGGTGCAGGGCGCATTGGGGAAAACCGACGGGTCTGGAGCACTGTAACTGGGCGCGGTACGGTAGGGCTCTAAGGCAGGAATGGAGATGTGGGGGTCTGGAGGGATTGGGGAAGGGTTGAGCGTACAGACCCCCTCACCCTACACGGGGGGGGGGGGGCGCGGCGCACAGGACTGGAACTTGGCTGTGATGCTCAGAGGGGCAGGGTGGATGGGGGGAGGGGAAACTGGGGTATAACATGTGTACAAGAGGGGGACTGCGTAGGGGGGGCATTGCCCATGGCAGAGACCAGGGGGCTGGAGGAGACTCAGCTCATGGAGGCAGCCAGTACAGACCCATAATACCCAGGGCAGGCGAAAAGGGGGGACGGGGGAGGGGAACAGCCCAGGATTAGCGCCCCCCCCCACTGATAGAGAGAGCACAGCCATAAACCAGAGGCAGTCCCCCATTCCCAGCTCCCCCCCCAGCCTAGTCCTCCCCCCATAGCCCAGGGGCCACCCCCTCCCCCCACAGCCCAGGGGCCACGCCCTCCCCTCCATAGCCCAGGGGGCGACCCCCATAGCCTAGTCCCCTCCCCCTACAGCCCAGGGGCCACACCCTCCCCCCCATAGCCCAGGGGGCGACCCCCATAGCCTAGTCCCCTCCCCCCACAGCCCGGGGGCCACGCCCTCCCCCCCATAGCCCGGGGGGCGACCCCCATAGCCTAGTCCCCTCCCCCCACAGCCCGGGGGCCACGCCCTCCCCTCCCATAGCCCGGGGGGCGACCCCCATAGCCTAGTCCCCTCCCCCCACAGCTCGGGGGCCACGTCCTTCCCCCCATAGCCCGGGGGGCGACCCCCATAGCCTAGTCCCCTCCCCCCACAGCCCGGGGGCCACGCCCTCCCCCCCATAGCCCGGGGGGCGACCCCCATAGCCTAGTCCCCTCCCCCCCCAGCCCGGGAGCCACACCCTCCCCCCCATAGCCCGGGGGCGACCCCCATAGCCTAGTCCCCTCCCCCCACAGCTCGGGGGCAGTCCCCTCCCCCCCATAGCCCGGGGGGCGACCCCCAAGCCTAGTCCCCTCCCCCCATAGCCCGGGGAGCCACCCTCCCAGCCAGGGGGCCACGCCCAGGGCACCAGCCCTCACCCAGGTGAGCAGGGACCCGCAGAGCTCGGCCTTGTCCACGCTCATGGCTCCGGCCGCCCCCCGGGGCCAGGCACGATCCGGCCGCCGAGCGCCTCGGTCCGCCAGCACCATAGACACCGGGCCCCGCTCCCGGCCTAGAGCGACCCCGCCTGGCGCACGTCGTCCGCTCCGCCCACCGCCGACATCTTTCGCCCGGGCAGGCGGCGCTCTAGCGTAGCTCTGGGCTGCGAGTCTCTATGGCGAAAGGACGTTCTAGGGACGTGGAGGGTTGTTCTCTGTGGTCTCTTTGCTGGAAATTTGAGGGCACTATTTATCACAGAAGCTCAGGGTCGGAAGGGACCTCGGGAGGGTCCAGTCCAACCCCCTGCTCCAAGCAGGACCAACCCCAACGACATCATCCCAGCCAGGGCTTTGTCACGCCGGGCCTTAAAAACCTCTAAGGATGGAGACTCCACCACCTCTCAAGGGAACCCGTCCCAGTGCTTCCCCACCCTCCTCGTGAAACAGTGTTTCTAATACCCAACCCAGACCCCCCACTGCACCTTGAGACCATCGCTCCTCATTCTGTCGCCTGCCACCCCAGAGAGCAGCCGAGCTCCCTCCTCTCTGGAACCCCCTTCCAGGAGTGGAAAGCAGCTATCAAACCCCCCCTCACTCTTCTCTTCCGCAGACGAAACAATCCCAGTTCCCTCAGCCTCTCCTCGTAAGCCATGTGCTCCAGCCCCCTCATCATGTTTGTTGCCCTCCGCTGGACTCTTTCCAGTTTTTCCACATCCTTCTTGTAGCGTGGGGCCCAAAACTGGACGCAGGACTCCAGATGAGGCCTCACCAATGCCGAATAGAGGGGAACAATCACGTCCCTCGATCTGCTGGCCATGCTCCTACATATACAGCCCCAAATGCCGTTGGCCTTCTTGGCAACAAGGGCACACTGCTGACTCATATCCAGCTTCTCGTTCACTGTAATCCCCAGGTCCTTTTCTGCAGAACTGCTGCCGAGCCACTAGGTCCCTAGCCTGTAGCGCGGCCTGGGATTCTTCCGCCCTAAGTGCAGGACTCTGCACTTGTCCTTGTTGAACCTCATCAGATTTCTTTTGGCCCAAGCCTCCAATTTGTCTAGGTCCCCCTGTATCCTATCCCTACCCTCCAGCGTACCTACCACTCCTCCCAGCTTAGTGTCATCTGCAAACTGGCTGAGGGTGCAATCCACACCATCCTCCAGATCATTAATGAAGATATTGAACAGAACCGGCCCCAGGACTGACCCTTGGGGCACTCCGCTTGATACTGGCTGCCAACTAGACATGGAGCCCTACACTCATCTATCTATCTATCTATCTATCTATCTATCTATCTATCCCCATACACCCCCTCTATCTATCTATCTATCTATCTATCTATCTATCTATCTATCTATCTATCCCACTTTTTCAGAATCCAAAGAGTCTCATACCCAGAAATGAGCGTTAGAGGTAGCATTTGGGAGCAATACCCCCCACCGAGACTCCCAGCCCCTAAGGGTGCGTCCATACTGCATTGTAAACCTGGGTTTCCAGTTGCTGGCCCCGGGTCTCACAGCCGTGCTGACAAGGTCACACTGTGCTCCGCAGCCCTGGCTCGGGTCTGTGGCTCGACCTGTGTCCAAACTGCGTAGCAACAGGGCTTGGCCCTGAGCCACAGCAGGGCTCGCTCTGAGACACACCCCCCCCAGCAGGGTCCTCTGACCAGGGTCAGAGTGCTCGATGACTCCTCGTGGGCTGATTTGTGTGTGGACAGAAGCTGGTCTTGGGCTCAAACCTGAGTCAGAGCCCAGGTTTTGTGTGAGGTGTAGACAAAACCCCGAGGATCTCACGCTGCCCTGTGGAGTTTGGAGCTCAAGCACAGGGCTGGGGGAGGGAAGGGGGGTGGACACTTCATGGCCTGTTGGTGCAGGGGGCTGTGGGCCCATTGCAGCACTAGGGGGCGCCAGATGCCTTGCAAACTGCCCCAGACAGCAGCGGGTAGGAAAGGGGTGGCCGACAAGGAGCTGGCGCTGTGGGGAGTATAGAGTGACACAATGGGGGGGCTGCTTCTCTGTAGGCCCCCAGCACCCCTCCTCTTCCTGCCCCCCTTTGGTGCCAAGTTTCCGAGCTGGGGTGGGGGGAGCTGTGCTTCTGGTGCACTGTGTGTCCCATGGCAGCGCCCTGCCATTGGCCGTGGGCTGTGTGTGTGTGTGAGGATATCAGCTCCTGCCAGAGAGATATTCCCCATTGCACCCCACAGCCCCCCTGCACTGCCCCCATACCCCTCACTGCTCCCACTCCTCGGCCATTTCCGCAACGGTGCACCACCCCAGAGGTGGGTGCATTGCTCTGGCACTCGCCCCAGCCACAGACCAAAGGCCCCGTTGCTTGCAGCCACAGCAGTGAGTCCAAGGGGGGGGAGAGTAAATGGGGTAGGGGTGGGGCAAGCGATGCTTGCCTAGTGCAGGGGGGTCTTTGGCGGCAAGATGCCCAGGAGAGGCTAATGGTTTTGGGGAAGTGGCAGCCCTGGGACTCCCCAGCCTCCTGATTTGCATAGCTGGAGGGGTGAGTCCAGGTTGGGGGGCTTCCCCCAGCGTGCTGTTTTGGGTAAGCTGAACTGCAGGAGTTCCCCGGCAGATGAATCAGAACCAGGTTGGGACTGACCTTCTGCAGGCTCTTCCAGCTCCCCAGTGGGGGCTGGGTGTGTTCTGAGTCCCACTTTGGCCTTGTTCTGTTCTCCAGCACCAGGGGTGTTTGCGAACAACAGAGGGGCAGGGAGCAGGGTGCAGTGGCTGTGGGGTGGGGAGGCGCCTGGGGGCTGGTTACCAATATTCTGTGTGCTGGGACTGACAGATGGGAAAAGCAGGTGGTGTTAGCCAGGGCACTGCTGTGGGGAAGCTCACAACACTGCCAAGTATCAGGGGGGTAGCTGTGTTAGTCTGTGTCCACAAGAACAAGAATGAGTCCATCACAGCACTGGGATCTGGACTGATGTTAGACAGGGCACTGCTGCAGGGAAGCTCACAGCACTGGGATCTGGACTGATGTTAGCCAGGCCAGGGCACTACTGAGGAGAAGCTCACAGCACTGGGATCTGGGCTGGTGTTAGTCAGGCCAGGGCACTGCTGCAGGGAAGCTCACAGCACTGGGATCTGGGCTGGTGTTAGTCAGGCCAGGGCACTGCTGCAGTGAAGCTCACAACAGTATAGAGAGAGGCCCTATTTATCCTGGGCATTTAGGGATCCCTATAACCCCCTCCCCCTTCACCTCCCCTGCGGCGCGGCTGGGGGCGGCTGCGGCCCCCGAGAGGCCGGTGCGGAGCCTTGGAGCCCTGCAGGGGGCGCTGTTGGGCAGCCCAAGGCTCCACGCAGAGACCGACAGCGCTGAGCGCTGGCCGCCAGAGGGCAGCACAGCACGGCGGATCGCGTCACTACGGGGTAGGGCCCCGTTAACCCTTCACACACCAGCGTGGGCCACCGCTGCTGGTACAGCCAGTTTTCCCTTACTGCTCTCCCCTCCCCGGCGCTGTGAGCTTCCCCACAGCAGTGACCTGGCTATCACCAACCCAGATCCCGTTGCTGTGAGCTTCCCCTCAAGAGTGCCCTGGCTAACACCCAGATCCCATTGCTGTGAGCTTCCCTGAAGCAGTGCCCTGCCTAACACCAACCGATATCCCAGGGCTGTGAGCTTCCCCATAGCAGTGCTGTGGCTAATATGAGCCTAATCCCAGCACTGTGAGCTTCCCTTCATCAGTGCCCTAGCTAACACCAATTGAGATCCCAGCACTGTGAGCTTCCCCACAGCAGTACCCTGGCTAACACCAGCCCAGATCCCATTGCTGGCCAGAGGAGGCTGCTGGAGGGGGTTTCAGTTTACAGCTGGCTGGGGAAATGGAGGGATGCCCAGAACCAGGGTCTGGGCTCCCTACCCCCCAAGATGGACCTGAGTGAGGGGTCCTGTTCTCTGTACCTACAAGCTCTGTTTTAGACTGTGTTCCTGTCGTCTAATAAACCTTCTGTTTTACTGGCTGGCTGAGAGGCATGGTGAATTGCAGGAAGTGCGGGGTGCAGGGCCCTGACTCCCCCACACTCCGTGACAACTGGTGGCAGAGGTGGGATGTACTGCACCCCGTGGATGGCGCTTCCTGCAGTAAGTGACTGGGGAGCAGTAAAGCGAAGGGGGAGTAATGTGAACCAGGCGTGCTGAAGGCTCAGAGAGGAGCGGTTTCTGGAGGCGGAGGAGCTGTGCTTAACCCCTGGGAGTGTGTGACCAGCGAGAAGGACTGGTGCAGTAATGGGGTCCTCCTGGGGACTGAGGTGAGCAGTTCCAGGGCGGAGTCATCTGCAGCTTGACCCTGGAAGAGAGGTGGTGACCTGGAGAAGGGCTGGCACAATAGGGGTTCTTCCTGGAAACCCTGGGGAGCTGAGAGCACCCAGGCCTGTGAGTCCAAAACAACTTGAGAACAGCAGAGTGATGGCCTATCACATCTCCTTAAGAAGGACATTGTAAACCTGTGCAAAAAGAGAGGGTTACACATTGGAAAGTTCACCAAAGCACAGTTATCGTGCAGCTGGAGGACGATGACCATTCTAAGGAGCAGATTCCTGACCCAAATGGGGCTACAAGAGGATCTGGGAGCAGCTGGAGTGGTAGCCAGGCATCCCCAAGACTCCTGTCCCCAACCAGACGGGGGTCTCCATGATCAGGTTCCCCATCGGGGGATCGGAGATGGATGGGATTGGAGCTGAGTCCAAACGAGCGAGAGGACTGTGAGAGATAGCGAGAGCCCGACAAAGAGCTGCAGGAGAAGCAGCAGCAGCATGAACTGGCGGTGGGGGAGCGGAGAGGCCTAGGGGACCTCCCAGGGGTGAGTGGGGATAGACCCCGGGGGGCCAGTTCCGCAGGGAACCTCGATGCTAAATTGCTGCCCTTGGTTACGGGGGGGGGTGTGGATGCCCACCTCACTGCCATTGAGCAGCCTGGTGATTTGAACCAGGGGGACCCTGCGGAAAAGCCCCAGTGTCTAGCTCCCTTGCTGCGTCCCAAGGCCACAGACTCCGTTAGCCAGATGGGTGGGGAGGTGGACAGGCTCCCACCCCTGACCCAGCCTATGTGTCTGCATGGAGTCTCCTGGGCTCAGGCCCCTCGGACT